ATGGGCTCTGCCTGGGAGGGGTTCCCTGCCCAGTCTGGGCTCTGCAGGCACAGAGGGGGGCTTGTGCTGTCTGTCTGCGCGGTGCCGGGTGCCCTGCCACCAGCTCTCCTCTGCCCGTTTCCCTGCCCTGTCTGTGCAATATTTTAGCGTTGTTTTTTAGCCTCTCTCTGCTGTTGGGCTTTGGGTCCATGTCCGGCTGTTCTCTTCAGACAGCATCCAAATTATTTTGAATATTCTCTTTGCGACCAGAGATTTCCCTGAGTCATACCTAAATGTTAATAAAAGCCTAATGGTTTATGTTAAGGAAGGCAAGAGATAAAACTAGAGCCCTTTTATCACAGACTTTAATGGCCTGAAAATGTCAGTTGTGTGGGAGCAACTGCCAAATTTTGAGCCTATGAAGACGATGGCTAAGTCCCACAAATCAACAAGTTTGGAGCGGATTACCGCATGCCGGCTGTGTCATTTTCCCAGGACTCCAGGCATGCTGGAAGCCAAGGCTTTAATCCGCTCTGATACGATGCGCGAAAGGGGCCGGGCTCCCTTTCCCTCTGCGGCGCTTTCGGAACCGTGCAGGGGAGCCAGGAAAGCCTGGCTGGGAGCAAAAGCTGCAGGGCTTTTTTCTGAACTGCAGCCTGCTTTTGATTCAGAAATAAACTCCATCTTTGCTTAAGAACTATTTTTAAGGTCACAAACACAGGATGCAGAAATCAGTGGGTTTCATGGTTTTCCTGAGTGCTGCCTCACCACTCCTCTTCCTCCTTCTGTTTCCAGCAGACTTCCTTCCCGAAGGGACATCCTGCACGGCTGCCTCTGGGGCGCAGTGCCTGGGGCTGGGGAGCTGTAATGGAAATTCTGGGAAATCGCTTTTTCTGCTCTTTTCAGGCCTGGGATAAAGAACTGAACTCACACCGTGAAAACAGCTGAACTCTTGAGCTCTGACGTGACTGGAAATCTTTTATCTCTGCCCCGCTTCATGTTTGCAATCAAGCTCGGGGGTTAATCTGACTAACGCTCCTCTTAGATGTGGCTCCCTGGTTTGAGTTAATTTGCATCACTTATGAAATTTTGCAAAAACACCGAGTGCGCCCTTCTCGCAAGCACGCGGGTGACAGCAGCGCTGCTCGGCCGGTGCTGCTGTGGGCTGTGTCCTGTGGCTCCCGAGGTGGCTCTGCCTTAGCATCAGAGAGTCAGATGTTTTGGGTGCAGAAGGACTGGAATCGAGACTCGCCCAGTATTTCTGTGAGTTTCTGAGTACCCAGAGCGCGTAGCAGAAAAATAGTGGCAATACAGTAAATGCCCACAGGCTTGTTTTAAAATGCAGATGATGGAAAGAGATTGGTTTTGGAAGAAAATTTGATGTTTATGCTTTCCCCACTTCAAGGTAGGACAGTTTGATTTAAGATGGAGCGAGATTTAACCTGTTCCGCAAGGAGAAAGCCTTTTAGCACAGCCTCTAAGCGGGATTTCCCAAGCTGCAGTGACTGCCTGGTGCTGCAGGAGGATGTGCCTTGGCCGTATCCTGTTTACCGAAACGTGACAGGGTTAAGATGTCCCCTCGGTGCTGAGGTGTTACAGACGGCAGCAGCCCAGGCTGTCCCCCCACCCTGGGAGAGGGAAACACCATATGTCTCCTCCTGCCCGTCCGTCGGAAGAGCTGATGTCATGTGAAGAAAGGTGTTTCAGAGGAAGGATGTCTGCGGCCAAAATAAAGCTTGGCCTGTGTTGGAATAGTGACATCCTGTTTACTGTGGAAAACACTTTGCACTGATAGGAGCTCTGAACGGGGTGATTTATAAGCAGGCAGGCGCGGCAGATAAGGAACTTCCCGTGATTTGGGCCACCTGTGAGAAGAAGGGGCTGGTTGCTGGGGCTGAGGCCAACGCCAGTACCGGGGCAGCCGCTGCAGGGATGAGGTGCTGAGCATCCCCCGGGCTCCAGGACGGCCCCAGCTGCCTCTGTGCTCTGGTTCCCAGCAGGACAGAGCCTTGTGAGCTTCAGGTGGTTAATATTGGTAAAGGTAATGAGGAGGTGCTAGAGATAACCATCCCCTAGACAAATAAATAAACCCAAGGACATTTCTAAAGGCCTGGCTGTGAATGAAGGGACCATTACACCAGAAACGTGAATGGCTAGTGTGTCCCTGGTATGGTATAACAATACTCTGTTGCTCAGTTTCAGGGGGAAACATACAGACTTAAGAATTTGGGCTGCTATTTTATTTTTTAATGGAACGAAATGCCGTAAAACTGCAAAATGCATTTAGCGGAGTCACTTGCATCCACAACACCTGATCCTTCGTCTCAGCCCCATGTGAGCTCCCAGCCTGTTGTCTCCTGCTTGGCTCTCGCTTCAGCAGAGGAAGTTTTTCAAGTCAGTCGTTGTCACTTCACTTCTAAGGCAACCGGCAGCAGCAGTGGACATGGGGTCTGGTGTCTGCTGGGGCGCAGGGGACTGTGGTCAGGGGGTTTCGGGAGAGGACCCCGTCTGCCCCTGTGGCAGGGACACGAGCCCTGGGTGCCTCTGCAGCGTTGCACTCCCTGCGTTCCCAGAGCAGGGTGTTGTCTGCGGTGTGCCCAAGGCCAGGGGATGCTGTGGGTCTGTGGTGGCGTGGTGCTCGAGCTGCTGTTTGCTGGCTCCAGGAGCCGGGGAGCTGGCTGGCAGCTCCAGCTCACAGCCAGCCCCATGGGGTTTGCTGCTGCCTGCTCCCCTGCAAACAGGAGGAGGGGGCAGTGCCAGGGTCCCCATGGCATTGTCCCTCCACAGACCCTTCTGGCTGCTGCAGAGTGTCACCAGCCCTGTGGTGGTGTGGTGGGAGGACACCATCCCTCGCCCCTGCGGGCACAGCCCAGTTGCTTCACATACATTTTGGATTTTAACAAGTTTCTTCCCCGTTTTTGTCCAGGGACATGTTGCTGTGATGTAGCACCAACCCAAGATGCGTGGTCGTGGCCGGGGGGGCCAGGACTTGTACCCAGGGCCAGGGCTTGGGGTCGGGGTGAGGGTCCTGCCCTTGTCCCACTGCTCACTGCAAGACCTGAAGATTTGCCTAATCTCCTAAATGGGCTGAAGATAGGGGAGAGCTGGAGATTTAGTCTGGTTCCATTAATGAAATAATAATGGTAATAAGGTAATTAAAATACAGGCCCTGGTGTGTTCAGCCCAAGGAGGGGGACTGTGCTAAACAGGCTGGTTGTCAATGTCTCCTGCCTGGTGGAAGCACGTGGTCCCGTTTCTCAACAGATACAGCCTCAAATCCCTGCATTTATTCTGCTTAAATTGCCACTCCTGACGATGGTTTTGGAAGGAATATCCGCGTTATGGCTGAGTTCAGTAAGGCGTAAAATGTGCTTAGTTTCAGGGGTGTGGGCTGCCGTCTGCCAGCAGTCTCTTGTCTGGGGTTTTGTGTAAGCGTTTCCCGCAGTCAGGGCCGTAATTCGGTGTGTTTTCGGGCTGTCGGCCCGTGCCCGGGGAGGGTGACAGCACAATTGCTGCTTCTCTTGAGATGAGCCTGAAACGACCGCAGATGTGGTAATGGCCCTTGAAACGTGCCCATTGTTGGAGCGGCTTCGGCTGCGCCCACAGCACTCCACAGAAGCTGCTGCAGGGGTGACGGCAGGTAAATTGTCATCAGTGAGGCTGTTGTGATGTTCAGACCTTGTTGAATCCATCCACATTGTCTGAGCAGAAATTGTAAGGAGAGTTTCAGAGGATTCAGGGTGAGAGTGGTCATAAATCTTGGGTGCATCTCGGCAGGGTAGGAGGAAGATGAGGCATCCCTCCTGTTTTCAAATGCTGCTGTCATGCAGCAACTGCGCTAATTAATTTAGCACGGGATAGTGAAGTCTGTTGTCTTGCTTTGGGCTAAATGAGCCAAATGCCTGCTCGCAGAGCAGGCTCACGTGAGGAGTCCTTAACAGTTGTCCTCTGCCTTCGCCCCTTGGCACCCAAGAGCAAATCATCACGGGAGCCTCAATACTGGCCTCGTGTCCCTGGTTGCCAGCCCTGGTGTGGGGTGGCCCATCTGCCGGGGCCAGTGTCGGCGGCGCTGCGGTTCCTGTGGGGCATGGGGAGCAGAGGTGGGCTGAGGCTGGATGGGGTCGGTGGCTCCAGCGTTTCTGGGCAGAGTTTTGCAGCCATTGCTCTTCCTTCCGTGTCCCGCAGCACGGTGCTTCTTTCTAGACGGCGGCTCCTCTGTCCCAGCCCATCCCAGTGGAAGACCAGTGGAAATTTTGCTGTTGACTGCAGTAGCAGCAAGATCGGAGCCAGGATTTACAGTCCTAGGAGTTGCCAGAAAAATTCTTTCCCCCCCTCTCTTGGCTCTGGTCTCAGTCACTTCCTCACTTACTTGCAGCAAAATAATATTTTGAGTTCTTTTATTGGAGAAACTTTTTGCCTCACCTTTTGTTTGAGAGGGAAGGGGCTGGAGATGGCTGGGGGGCTGCAGCCACCCCGGCTGAGTGTGCCTCTGTGTGCTGCCCAGAACTGGTCCTGAGTGGTGGCCCATGGGCTGGGGGACCTGTCGCAGCGCTGGGGTCAGAGGGGTCTCTGCAGGGACAGCAGCCCCCTCTGCCAGGACAGGTGGCCGCTGGGCAGGGCTTGTCCTCGGTGGGCTGAGAAACCTCCCTGCGGCGCAGCCCCCGCTGGTGGGGGGCTTCCAGTGTGGGGAAGGAGAAAAGACCTTGGATGGCTTCTGTGGGAGAGGGGCACAAGGAGCCCCCTTGTCCCCTTTTACTGTCACACAAGAGTTTTGTGTTGAGGTGAGGGTGCTGCTACAGTCAATGGGTCTTTGGCTGCAGGACGCCCGCCTGGTGCTGCCCTGGTCCTGCCCATGGCGTGGGCAAGGGCATTGCTCCTCCATCAGAGCCTGGGCTGCGTTTGGCTGGAGGGTAGATCTGCCAAGCACAAAGGGGGCTCTATTACAGCTCTTTGCTCCCGTATTAACCCCTTATGTTTTCCTCTTCCATGTCTTGGTCATGAGGAGCTTTCCCTGCCGGCAGTTTGTCCACGCTGGGCCCGAGGGGGTGGCACTGGGGGACCCGCGGGGGTTGCTGCGGCGCGCTGACCTGCCTGTCTCCCCACAGCTGCAGCCGGAGCAGCTGGACTGCGGAGCCGCGCACCTCCAGCACCCGCTGGCCATCGTCAACCCTGTCACAGCCACCCCCGTCTTCACCTACAGTGGCCTCACCGCCGTGGCGGTGGCCAGCGTCAATAACTACACCGTCGTCTTCCTGGGCACGGCCAGCGGAGGACTCCTGAAGGCAAGTGGGGCCTGGTCGCCCCGGCGTGGGGCAGGCAGGGCTGGGGGTTGCGGGGGGCGGTGGGGCTTCCCCTCCCAGCACCTCTGGTTTGCACAGAGGACGGTGTTGTTGGGTTTGTCTGAGCACCTGCTTTCATCTGGCAGTGAAGGAGCAATTGGATGCTGCCGTAATCCATACAGTGATATATGATATATGCCGCCCAGTGACTGGCGGCCGTTAATTACTGTTCAAGGCTGCCATGTGAGCGGGATGTTCTTGATGAACCCTATGCTGGAAATGTTATTGTGCAGCATTTCATTATTAACAGCTCTTCTAATAAATTCTCCCTCTGAGCTGATGGCTTTTGAAGGCTCCGTGTAGGCAGGGGAATCACCCAGAGATGCTTCCTCACAGCTGAGTCCAAAGCAGGTGTGAATCCGCGCATCTGATGGGGGATCTGCTTTACACGGTGTGCCAAAGGCAAGGCAGGGCAATGCAGCACCCTGGCTCCAGAGCCAAGACGCGAGGCCAAGGTTTCACTAACTGTAGTGCTTGAAGTTTGCCAAAGAAAGTTTTGACTGCAGCCAGCCACAACAGTTTGCTGTATTCTCAGCATCGAAAGTCCATAGGGGAGGAGGGGGAAACCCTGGAGCAGACACGGCTGATACCTGCTTTGTCTCAGCCTGGGGTTAGCGGTGCATAATGTGGAATATTGGATCAAAATGCTTGGAGAGAAGAAAACCAATCCAATCTCTTCCCTTGCGTCCAAGTGCTCCTGGCAAAAATGTGGGAATGAACACAAAGAAACTCACTGCTTTGATTTTCGCCCGCAGGGGCAGGTAACTCGTGGGGGTGGGAGGAAGCTGGCACCCCATCCGGGTGCTCCGGGCTGGAGAGGCACATGCCACACGCAGCGCAGCCCGTGTTCACACAGCATTAACAGCTCGGCTTCCATTATCATCTCTGAGAAAGCAGCCTTATCGGCTGAGCCTCCATTAGGGAGAGGCTCCTGGCTACCCTTTGCTGGGATAATTTGCTCAGATAGCTCTAATCTAATTCTACAACACAGCTGCATAACCAGAAGCCTTTTTACCTTCGGGGCTCCTTGTTATTTGGCACGGGATACAAGATACTTTGCGTGAGTTATCATTCAGATTTGCTGCTTGAGAAAAGACAGTAAAGGGGCAGAAATAGTGCTCGCCCAGCTCCCGCCAGCAGCAATTATGGCTGGGGGGTGTGTATGGGGAATTAGTCAGATAGGCTACAGATGGGCACTTGGTGAGGGCCGGTATCAGTGCCACGTCCAGCAGGCGTTGAAGGAAGCGGTGGCCAGGGCAAGGTGTGCCAGGGTGCGATGCCCTGCAAGGGTGCGGGAGCCTGAAGGGTCTGTTACGAACAGTCCCTACGTGTCCGGGTCTGGGAGCCCGTGGACCTGGTGGGGTTACCCAGAGCTTGACACACTCTGCTCTCACTGCATCCTGCAGCTCGCCCCGGCCCCGCTCCAGTGAGAGGACGGTGGTCCCTGCCCCGCTGTGGGGGGGTCCCTGCCCTGGGGCTGCAGCTCATGGGCATCCAGGGAAAGTGCCTGCGCAGGAAAAGCGTGGGGTGAAGGAGCCCAGGAGGCAGATGGACCTGGGGACAGGCACTGAGAAACACCCAACGTAGAGCAAATCTCAGCAAGAAGGTAGAAAGAATGGTCAGAACGCTGAAGTGGAGGGTGTTGGGACACAGTCCATGGGCATCTTGGGTGATCCCAGGCAAATTATTTAGCCGGATAGCTAGCCTTTAATGGGGATAATGGCGGTTCCCTTCTTGCTCTGCACAGCAGCTCGCAGTGCCTGCATACGGTTCTTAGCAGAGGGAAGCCCTCTGCTTTGAGCTTGTGCTATCTTACTAGGACATGTTGGTGCTGCTCTAGTGTAAGAATTAATTAATCCTATGTTAATTAATTAATCCAGACTTTAGAGAGCAGAGGCACGCTTGGTCCTTACAATTATTCCCTTTCCTTGTTAGTAAGGAGGTAAGAATTTTCCTTGCTCCCTTTCTGTTTTAAGCTGAAAAGTGACTGTCACGCGAAATTGTGTAGCCCTATTGTTATTTCCTCTCAGCAATGCCACATTTAATTTGCTGAGTTTTCAAGTCAAATGCCAAGACATTCAGGGATCCGAAAGGCAGGCTGAGGCTTTGCAGCCTCTTCCATCACTGCCAGCACTTCAGCTGGTGATTCATGAGGCAAGGTAGGACTCGGCTCTCTTGCGGCAGCTGCCACGGTCTTCTGGAGTGAGGAGGGATAAAGGCTTCTTATGGCCAGGAATGACAACACTTATTTTTCAAATATGCAGGGAGCGGGGGATGCCATGTTGTACAGCCCCGCTGCTGATTTTAGCTGGTTTTCATTAAGCTTTGGAAATGCAGTGTTCTTTGTAACAGAAATGCACATATGTATGTGATGAGGGCTGAAGGCTGGTGCCACTTACATTAGGGCAAAGCGAGAGCTGTGCTGCTCCGGCTGCTGGAAACCACCATGCGGCCTTGGGCTAGAATGTTGCAGGCAGCATCTCAAACGGAGGGACCGAGGGCTGGTCGTCATTGAGCAGGGCTCCTGGGCATGGCCTGGACCACTTAGTGCCTGCCCTGTGGCACAGAGCCGGCCCAAACCAGAGCTTCTCAGTAAAGCTTTGTGTGTGCAGCTTGCGAGGCGTGTAGAGATCTACAGCACTTGAAAATGTAGGACACTGTTAGATACTGCTTTGACTCATGTTTATAACCAAGGAAAAACAACCTTCTCCCCATAGTGTTTGACAGATGGTCTCAATGAATGGCTTCTTCTCACACTACAGATTAATCTGGACAGTACCATGAAGGTTATTAGCAGGAGATCCATTTCGGTGGCTTACGGAGAGCCTGTCCACCCCATCATGCAGTTTGACCCTTCTGATTCCACCTACCTCTATCTGATGACCTCCCATCAGGTGAGATCTCTAGTCTTCAGCCAAATGGCCCTTTGAGCATCCTGCATTTGATTTAGTGTTCAGCACTAAGCCAGGGGCAGGAAGGGACAATGAAATTTGCTTTAACATCAATGGGCAGAGCCAAGACGTTCAGAGCCTTGGTTGGGGTGTCAGAGGGCTTTCTGGGGGGGCACCTGTGCCTGGCCATTCTCCTGCGCGGGGTGGGGGTCACATCGAGTGGACTGGCTTGTCGGGCTTTCTCCTCTTTGTGGTGGCAAGGTAAAGAGTGAAGGATTTCAAAACCACTCCTGCTTATGGGAGTGCAGAAATGAGCAGAGGTTGTTCCCATATAGAAACCTGAAAATTGCGGTGCACAGTCTGTAAGGAGGCTTTTAGGAGATCCTGCAGACAAAAAGTCTGCCTGTCAGGAAGGATGCTCAGGGGAGGTCTCTGCTGAGCCTGGCCAGCAGGAGGGCTGGCTGGGAGGAGGGCTCTCTGCAGAGACAGGAACACCGCAGCAGGTAGAAACAGACGGTCTCATCTCCATCAAGTGAGCAGAGGAGGAAGATGAGAGCTGAGCGCTCCAGGCGCTGGTGGTTTGTCCTGAATTACATTTTAATCTGTCAAAACAGATGCACAACCACAAATGTTATATGTTGCATTTATGTTTTCCAAGCCCTAATTCCCTGCAGGTTGGTCATTATCATTTCACAGAACCCTCCCGGGATGCCTCTTTAGCTGGTGTTTCAGACTGTCTCAGCCCTGCTCCCGCGCTGTGCTGTGCACCTTACTGGGCTCCATCAGACACCCAGCGCAGCGCTCGTGGTGCTCTCCTCTGTTTCTTTGCCAATAAACCAGACAAGCTGATTTTTCTTTGGTGGAATTAGCATCCCAGAAAGCTCCCTGGGAGCTCGATGGGGTTGGGGGGGTGCTGAGCACCGCAGGGGTGGGGAGCAGTGAAGCACTGCGGGTAGAGCCGGGGTCAGGCCAAGGAGCTCACCTGGTGGGAGCTCAGGGCTCTCACCACCTCATGTTCTCAGTCCCCACTGAACCAAACAACTCAGTTTTCTTTCCCAAATGTTTAGAAATCGAGGGAGGAAAAAGCAGAAACTGACACATGCTTTCCCCCCAACTGCTCCTGCCGAGCTAGTCCCCAGAGGTACTTTGATTTCTTTACAAATTAAGGTTTCCAGAGTGGCTTTGCTTTTTGGTTATTTTGTTAATAGCCAGACAGTGCTCAGCTCAGTCTAGAAAAGCGCTTTCCACAGGTCTGAGTGAGAGCTTTTCACAGGAGGGACGAGCTGTGAAACCATCTCCATCTGAGGCATCATGAAGGTGTGGTGGGGCTGTCGCTGGCCTGGCCATCACACATCCATTGCCAAGGTGCTGGCTGAAAGGGGGCAGCTCAGCTCAGCCCAGTGCTGCCACGTGCCCCGTGGGGCGACTACACCGGTGGCCGCAGCAAGCCCTGTCCCTTGGGCACCCTTCCTTGTCCCTGGGCTGGGCTGGGCTCTGCTGGGGGCACAGGGCAGCTGCCCGTGCTGGTCCCTGTGTGGGCTGGTGTGGGGCAGAGGGTGGTGGCACCGGGGGCTGCTCCCCATCGCCCCGTGTGTAGGGCCTGGTCCAGACAAACGGGTGAAGCAGCCCGGGATGCTGGTGTCTCGTTGCTGGCACATCCCGGCCGGGCTGAGTGTTTCTGTGGGCTGTGGTGGTGTGGGACATTTGGAAACTTGTGCTGTTGTCGTGCAGATGACGCGGGTGAAGGTGGCTGCCTGCAACCAGTACTCGACGTGCAGGGAGTGCCTGGCCGCTGCTGATGCCTACTGCGGGTGGTGCACGATGGAGACCAGGTAGGACTGGCTGGGTCCTGGTGCCCTTCAGCGTGTCCTTTGGCCCTCAAGCCTGGGCAAGAACCTCTGGTGCTTTTTGTATTTCCACACAGTCACAGTACCATTAGTCTTTGTCCATTCCTTGTGAAATACGTGCTTTTAGAAACAATTGCATCTGGTCTCAAACGGTTGGGATGCTCTTCAGAGCCAGGATTTCTCTGTAGCTGCATTGTTACACTGCAGGCGGCTGCCAGCGCAAAGAATATCTTGCAGGCATCCAACCACGGGACTGAGGAAGCCAACACCCTGTTAAAGACCATCTTTTGCCCTTGCAGTTATTACTCATGAGTGGGAGAAAATCAGCACTCAAAAAGGGATTTACAAAATTAGACTCTGCGTTCACAAATTGAAGATGTTGGACAAAATGTCACCTTCTCCTCCTCGGTTCTGGGCTCAGCCTGGCCCGCTCTCGCTTACCCAGAATCCTGGTGCTCCGTTGATGCTGGTGGGAGCACACGCTCTTATCGTGGCAACCAGACGCTTTAAATATAGCAGCAAAGCCTTAGGCTTAGCTGCTTGGATGGAGGAAAAGATGTAGGCACAGGGTTTTCTCAGGATCTTCCCTAATAAGGAAGCCAACGTTTTTATCACCTCTTTTAAAAATGATCAGCCACGTGTCCCCTGTTCGTTGCAGGTGTTCTCTGCAGCGCGAGTGCACCAACTTCACAGGGGCCAACTTCTGGGCAAGCGCAAGTGAAGGAGTACAGCAGTGCCCTTCCATGACCATCCTGGAGCCCGAGATTAATATCGACAAAGAGAACCCGGTGAGTTTGACATCACTACCAAATTAATCACGTGCGACATCCCGTAGGGTTGTTACCTGCTCTCGAAGCTGATAAACACCCACTCTCCTCTAGCGCTGCATCACAGCTGCACGCAGTGTGGGCCATGGGGATGCTCAGCTCTCTTGTTGGTACCCAGCCAGGCCAAGGTCCTCTAAAGCTCCTGGAGGTGACCTCCTGTACCTCGGGGCCCTGGGAGCCGAGCCTGGGGCTGTAGGCGAACAGGACCTGTGATGCTGCCACGGTGAGCACGTGGCAGAGATCTGCAAAGTCTCAAAATACAGCTGCAGATAGCTAAATCAGCTCATTTTCTGGTGTCATATTGCTGCTATTTTTAACTGTATTTTAACGATATTTTAAGTGTTTTCAGCAAAATATTTTTCATTTAAAGACAAACCCTTTCCCAACGGCAGAAATCTCTCTGTGCCAAAGTTCGCAACCAACCCTAACGTGGGGAAATTGCCGGTGACGGGGGCGGTTGGGGCAGAGCCCAGACCGGGGCCGGAGAGAGGGATCCCACCGAACCCGAGCTCTGCTCTGGCTCTGGGGCCACCGCGCAGGAGCAGTGGGTGGGGGTCCCCAGGGAGTCCCCCCGCTGCTGGCGGGGAAGCCAGCGCAGCACGTGGGCCCTGCGTTTTCATGAGTCACCCTCCTCAAAAGCATTCCCTTCCTGCCAAACCTCCCCTCCCTTCCCCTCAGAGGCTGGTGGCCAAACAGAGCCCCCGCTCAGCCCCTGTGTGCCGGGGGGGATGCTGGCATGTGGCCACCCCCAGCCCTCCCCGCCGGCTCCTGCCAGCTCGACACCTCCCGCCTCCGTCCCTGGCACAGAGGGGTGCAGGCGAAATGGGTTAATTCTGTTCTGCTCTTCCTCCTGCTCCAGCCCAGGAGGCTGCAGGATGGGGACAGACAGGGAATGGTGGAGGCAACACGGGGCCAGGGCAGCCGGGGGGCTCAGCCTCCGTGTCCTGCCTCCTCCCGGCCGGCTCCAGGGGCTGTCTGTCCAGCCAGACGGGGACACACCGGCTACAGCCGCTGGAGCTGCTGTGACACAGCTCTGCTCGAGCAAGGGTTCATGTGCGGATGCCTTTTTGGGGTTCAAAGTGCATAAAACGAAAGAAATAGCTATCTGTGGACCCGCTTTGGAATCCTTAGCCTATGAAAAGCTTGCAAAACACTGACAGATTCTAATTATAATTTTCTGTCATAATGACTGATTATTTTTTTTGTCCAAATATAGGCCCTGATAATACAAATAAATGGAACTATCCCCAACCTGAATGGAACAAATATTTCATGTGACTATGGAAATAATATCCACACGGTAGCCAGAGTTGCTGGAGATTATGTAAACCAATTTATTTATTGCAGTTTACTTCCACGCGAGAAGTACCCAACGTTTCCAGATGACCAAGGTATGTAGAGGAGAACAAGCTTGGTTCATTCTAACCACTTGTGTGGACATAACTTTTCATAGACTTTTTTTCTTTTTCCAATTGTATGTGCAGATAATTCATACAGGGAAAAAAGACCCAAGCTGCTTCTGTTTTATAGGGCCTATGACTTTAAAGCGTGGGAGTTTCCACCATCTTAACACGAATTGACAGTATTTCAAATCTATCAATTTTTGTTTTAAACATCAGATTTTAAAAGCCAGTTCATGTACTTATTTTGTTAAGATTTATCTGGTTTGAGCTTCTGGTTTAGATTTAATAAGTACTCAAAAAATATGTTTTAGCCCTGGGGAAATAATCTTGCTACTTAAATTGATCTTTCCAATTGCTTTTGTTCAATTTCCCTTCCGAACATGTGCTACCTTTCAGAGGAGGTTGTGGAAGAAGAGCAAGTGTGTACCTAAAGGCAGCTCAGAAACTCACAGTCCTGTTTATGCAATTAAAAGCCAGACCGAGGTCTTCCGGTCCCCCCTGGTTTCAGGTGGCACCAAATGGGATGCCCACCCTGAGGCTCCGCGGGGCTGCGTTCTGGAGGTGATGGGTACCTGCAGAGCAGGTTGGAGGTGGCTGAGTCTTGGTGGCCGAGCTGGCCAGGTCTGATGCTGCTCACTCGGCCATGGAGACAGCCCCGTTTTGCAGCTCCTTCTGGAAGTTCGGTGCTTCATTCCAGCCTTGAGTGCTTTTTAAATCTTCATCTTTCAAGCCTGGGGTGAATGCCCCATTGAAGATGGCTGACTTCAGTAGGAGGAGAATTAACCAGTCCTTTTGAAAATCCCACTTTTCATATGCAAGTTTATAAAGCTGCATTGTTTTTCTCCCTAGCTATCCAAAGAATGGGAGATCATTAACTGTTCTGTATTGTTGGTTACGGCAATGTCCAAGTGAATTTCTGGAATCCAATGCGCTGATTTATTGTACATTTTCTGAAAGAGGCATTGTCTCTTGTCCCTCATACTTATATGGCAAAATTGCAAAGAAAAAAAAATATTAAGCAATTCTGGGGGGAGGGGCAGTTAGAATAGCCTGTTAAGTAGCCAAAAAAGGGATTTCCACTCTTCTCTGTGGGTTTGTTGTCATGGGGAAAGTGAGCGGGGTTTTAAAACATGATAACTAACATGTTTTAATTACCACATTTTTTTTAAAGTATCATTTAGCACCAACTGTAAGCGAAGACAATAATTAACTCTGCTAATTAACACTTGCACAACATGCTGGAATTTTCTGCTGAAAGTCGCAATGTTCTTTTCTGGTGAGGGTGATGTAAAGCGTTGATTTAAGAGGGAAGAGCTGAAAGTCAGAGGGCAAAAGATGAATGGTCCAAGCTCTGAAATGCAGCTCGGAGGAAGCCCTAGAGAAAACAAATCAGATTTAGCTCTTGTTTTCCCAAGGGTCTGTCTTGTCTTCTAAGCATGAGCACAAGCAAGAGGCTCTTGCAACCCAATATTCTTTGGCTTGATTCTCTCAGACCACGTGGTTGTCGAAACTGCTCTTCGGGTCAACGGCAAAAACATTATCCGGGCCAGTTTCACCATCTACGATTGCAAAAGAACTGGAAACATTTACCCGAAGAGAGCGTAAGTGACGCCGGTGTGCGGGCCCACGGGCAGGCGGCCGGCGATGGAGGGGTTGGAGGCCGGGAGGGTGATGGCGAGCAGCCGGACGAGGGTCCCTCCGGCAGGGCTGGTGGGAGAGCACAGCCTCCGTCCCTCCGTCCCTCCATCCCTCCATCCCTTCCTCCCGGCGGGCGGCCGGGGCCTGGCAGGATTTGGCAGGGATTTGGTGGGGGATGCGCTGCCAGGGATTTACAAGGGAGGGTCCTTGCGGCGGCTCGAGCCATCTGGACATGTTGGGTTTTTTTAATTGTGAATGATATTTTTATTTAAAGCTTGTTTTGTTAACCCTTAGGAAGCGGAGCTGGCCCCCCAGGGATCTTTGGGGGGTCTGTGAGGGAGGGTGTGGGGGTCAGATTCCCTCTGCTCTCTCTGCCCTGCCAGCCTGGGGGGGACAGCCACGTACCCCTCGTCAGCACCGTGGGCTGGTGCCACCCACAAAAAGCCATCCACCATTCAGGGGTGTAACAACGGAGCCTGACCAGGGGATCCCCGGGTCCTGCCCGCTGGTGGTCCCACACCCTGCCTGAACAGTGGAGAGCCTTCATGGAACCATAGAACAGTTGGGTTAGAAGGGACCTTGAGGATAATAGGCAGGGACACCTCCCACCAGCCCAGGTTGCTCCAAGCCCCCTCCAACCTGGCCTTGAACCCCTCCAGGGATGGGGCAGCCACAGCTTCTCTGGGCAACCTGGGCCAGGCTCTCACCACCCTCACACCAAACAAGTTCTTCCCCACATCTCAGCTCCATCTCCCCTCTTTCAGTGTCAAATCCCTCCCCCTCCTCCTAGGGCTCCCCTCCCTGATCCAGAGTCCCTCCCCAGCTTTCCTGGAGCCCCTTGAGGGACTGGAAGGGGCTCCAAGGTCTCCCCGGAGCCTTCTCTTCTCCAGGCTGAACCCCCCCAACTCTCTCAGCCCCCCCTCCCAGCAGAGGGGCTCCAGCCCTCCCAGCATCTCCGTGGCCTCCTCTGGCCCCATCCAACAGCTCCATGTCCTTCTGAAGCTGGTGGCAGCACTGGAGGGGGGTCTCCCCAGAGCCCCAGAAGGGCAGAATCCTCCCCCATTGCCCTGCTGGTCACGCTGCTGGGGTGCAGCTCGGGGTGCAGCTCAGGGTGCAGGGGGCTTTCTGGGCTGCCAGTGCATATTGCCAGCTCACGTTGAGCTTCTTATCCACCAACACCCCCAAGTCCTTCTTGGCAGGTCTGCTCTCCATCCCTTCATCCCCCATTCTGTCTTTGTGCTTTGTCAGGTGTGAGGTGACATCTCCTTGGGGAGATGGATGGGTGGAAAAAGCATTTTTTGGGGAGAAAAATGTTTTTCAGTGAGCAGGGGAGGAACTGGAGCCGGTGACTCCTGGTTTGCCATGGCACCATGGGTGATGACACCCTGGAGCTGCCCTCAGAGCGGTGTTGGGGAAGATGGGCTCTGCCTGTGTTTCCCCTCAGCTCCCAGGGAGAGGAGAGGGGAACCAGTGCCGGCCATGGGTCTTTCTGGGCTCTGTTAAATACTGAACCGAATGTGTGAGAATCGATTGCATGTCTGAGGTTTGGCTGCCCTGAGCAGCTTCTCTCACTGCACCGTTGCCGTTTCAGATGCACCAGCTGCCTCTCCACCAGGTGGAAGTGTCACTGGTGCCCCTCCACCTACGCCTGTGTCTCCAACCACTCTCAGTGTGACGATGCACTGCAGATGAAGGTAAGGCCCCTCAGACTGTGCCACCTCGGGACACCTTCTGCATCTCTGTGATGTTTTCGTTCTCCCAGGGATGGATGCAGATGGCCTGGGTTTGGCAGGGGGCAGCTCCAAGGATGGCACTGCCCAGTGTTCCTGGCAGCGCCGGTGAGCTTGGGGCTGAGGCCATCTCAGACTGTCTCACCTCAAGGTCCCCAGGCTGTGCCCAGGGGATGCATTATCTCATGACTCTGGGGGGTCTTCAGGGACTGGTGCTCAATGTGGTCTCAGCCACCCTGAGACTCCTGCACCAGTGGCTGGCACTTTGCTAGCCAGAGTAGTGTGGCCACTGCTCGTCCCGGGCTGGAGTTGGGGCACCCTCCCCTGCAGGTGTCCAGGAGGGGGGATGTGCATGGGGCAAGTAAGGTTGTGCCATGTCGTGCCCAAAAGCATGTGTGTGTGAGGAGCTGGTAGCCCACTGGGAGCATTTGTCTCTCCCAGCAGCCTCCATCCCTTGGCTCTCCATCACCCCTCACATCTGGAGCAAGGCTGCTGTGTCCCTGCATCCTGGGATGCCTGGGTTTGGGCAATACAGTAAATGCAGCAACACTTTACAGTTCATTTAGCTCTGACTGGGCTGTTGGGTATGTTAATAATTTGCTGGAGCACCACTGGTGGTGCTTGTCTAAAGGAGAAAATTGCCCCTTTCCAAATTATAGCATCTAATAACCCAGAGACCCAGTGTGTTCCTGCTTCTGAAATTTAAATTGAAGTTAATTTAAATAAAATTGGCTTTTTAGCAATCAATCTGCCGTAGATCTGAGCCAAGCTTTTACACTGTAAATTGAATATCCCTTTGGCACCAGTGCTCTGCTCTCATCTCGCATCTTCCAGCGGTTCCCTGGGCTTGTTGCCGGCAGGAGTTTGGCCTCGTGTCCAACGTCCCACCCTCCCTGGCTGGGCTGGCCCTGGGGATGGTGTCCCCTCCGGCGAGGAGAAGGTGGGCGGCTGCAAGCGCAGGGGACCAGGAAGGAAACGAGGCCACTCGGTCACAGCTCTGTGTGGTCCTGTCCGGTGTAAAACCCTGGGAAACGTTTCCCATCCCTGCTGGGTGGCAGTGGGCTGACAGCACTGGTGTGTCCTCTGGCTTGTGAAGGGTTTCTGCGAGGGCTGTGCTTCCTGGTGAACGTCTGGCCACTTGTACTGGGCGGATGAGTGGAGCACCCTCCGCTTCCTCAACGTCCCAGGCTTCAGAAAGTATCTGGTGTTGTCTGTTGCTGCCTGGATGGGCGCTGAGCACTGGGAAGCTGTCACTGGTGGCTGCTCCTGGTGTGGGAGCCACGCATGAGGCTGCGTGGTGGGGAGAGCCAGGGCTACCCTCTGGCAGGGATGATTGCGTGTCCTGCCTTAACGATGACCCTGCCTGTCCTTGTGTCCCTGCCTCTGATCTCCTGCTCCAGCAGTACAGTCTGTTTGGATGCTGCACCTGGTTTGGGCACATTTGTGTTTTATTTCTGTGCTGTTCTAAGCCCTCCCTGCTGTTTTCCGTGAGCAGCCTGCAGGATGAGGTGCTCTGTAGCCCTGGAAACATGGTGCCTCGTCCTACAGCCTGAGCTTTCAGTAAACAAACCCTTCCCGGCGTGGCTGCACCTGAAAACGGGTCCGCTGGGAAGCTGGCATCGTAACGGCTTCATCCACAGCATTTTAAACATTCAGACCCTTTGCCCTGATCCAGACGTGAATGATATAATCAGCTGGAAAGCTCTATTTCTAGCCACTGATGAACAGCAGGAGAAGGGGCTGCAAGACGACAAGTTAATCAGTCCTCTAAAGTGTATTTATCTAGCAAGCCATGCCAGCTGCTGCGACATGCAAGGACACACCAGGCCACAGGAGCTTTTGCATGAATTTTCCATTGTAGCCCTGCTGGTTTTATTTTAACTCTTTTGATTCTCCTAGAAGAGGCTTGGGACTGAAACCTCTCTCCAGTGCTTTGCTTTGTTGTTTTCCTTCTCTTATCATGTGCATCTCTGTTATTTAATCTCCTTGTTTAGGCGGCACCAACTGTGCTTGCTTAAGATGAGTGTCCTGATAGAAATGAAGCGTGTTTTCCGCAGTCAAACAAGCACTTCCAGACAGTTCCCTGACCCCCGGCTGGGTCCAGGGAGGGCAAGAGGAAACCTTTTTCTGACTGTGTGTCTGGCACCAGGGACGGGTCCTGCCAGGCATCGTGGCGCTGGGGGCGAGGCTCTGCCATCAGTGGAGTCACCGTGGGGTAGCCCTTAGTGCGAGCGAGAAGGAAATCTGGCCTGCTGCAAATTACTCTGCATAACGGACCAAATATTTTGTTGTCTTTTACCCCAGTGGCTCCACTGTCAAAGGCATTAATCTGGATATACCCTGGGGCAACAGAGAATCTGGCTTGGTTTTTGCTGTAGTTTTGCAGTGTGATTTACATCTCATGAGAGAACAGGATGGGCTTGTCATACAGACTTGAATTCTGAGTCAGCTCCAGTATCTGAGCCATCAGTTTAAAGTAAGGACAAAAGTAGGGGACAGATGACCTTTTAAAATCATTTTTCAGCTTCATTTAGGGCTTTCATTTCAGCCGTCCTGCCGCAGTCCCCTTGCTGCAGCCCCTACAGCTCGTTGTACCCTTTCCCCTGCACACACAAACCCCCGCACACCTCCGAAATGACACTGCGCGGGAGGGAGAGCGGAAATCTCTGCAGGGGCTGTGCAGAAACGCGCATTGCGATGTGCCAGACACGGGCTGCCCACGGGCAGGAGGGGTCACGCCAGCAGATTTGCCGATGTTGGCTGTGGTGCCTCCTTTTAGTGTCATTCCAGCCCTGTCTTCTAGCATTTAAGTGCATGTAATGAATGCCCAGAGTGGCAGCTGAGGAGTGCGTGCCCATTTGCTTTATACCTGGGAGGAGGTTTTTTGCAGCGTGGGAGGATGAAGGTACAGGCTTGGCAGCCCCACCGCCCGGGGACAGGAGCTGCTGATATCGCCGAGCTGGCGGAGGAGCCTGGCAGGAGTGAGGTGGGATTCCTGGTGTCCCCCTCCCTTTGCCAGGCCATGGCCACAGACGAGCCCTCCTGGAAATCCAGCCACCCATTGTGGTTGTCTGATGGCTAGCGGGGGGGGGTGGTTTAAGGCGGTGCCAAAGCTGGTGACTCGGGGGAGGAAGGCTCCATGTGGCATTACTGCTCTGTGCATCACGGTGCCATTTTGGTCTTTCACTTTCTGGGGTTATGGTGTGGTCTGACTTTAAAGATGTAGTGAATTAACCTTATCAGGGGTCCCACGTGTCTTCTTGCCCTGTCACTGAGGATGCTCAGCACGCACCCAGCTAACCTCTCCTTTTTTGGGTCTTGTTTTCTACCTCACAGAAGAAAATAGACTGTCCACGAATTGTACCTGCCTCCCTGGACCCGATGCCCACGGGAGTATCTCGGGATATCACCATCTCGCTGGCTAACGCCACCTTCTCTAAGGTAAGTGAGTTCCTGGAGAGATGGGGAGGGTTCAGATGAGCCTGGGCTGGTGTGCAGCGAGGTGGGCAAAGGGAGTTTAAATACAAGCTGCCTTGGGAGCGGGTGATGGCGTTCGCAGCTGAAATCACTGTATTAACAAAAGATGCTGGTGGAAAGCATCACCTGATGGCGAGGGAGGTTGCGCGGCAAAGCCGAGGGGAGATGCTGTTTGTGCACAGGCATTCTCCGGGGATCTCCCGTAATTAGTGACAAGCTTTTGCGTTTGGTGGAAAAAAGAGGTTTATACATCTTGTAAAACAGTCACGAGAACACAGTGTTTGGGGGACATAGAACTCCTGGTTTCCTGGTGGGTGTGTGCCGCGCTGCGGAGCGTGCTGGTGTCGGTGCCCCGTGTGCCAGCCCGGTCCCATCGCCCCGGCCTCGAGGAAAGGAGAGAGCCCGGGCTTGGGCAGAGCCCTGCGCTGGCTCGGCCACTGCTCGGAGCATGGCATGGGAATGTGTTGTAACTTAACTTCTGGTGGTCACTGCAGAGCTCTTTTTTTTTTTTTTTTTTTTTTTGCAAAAAAAATCCTTTCAGTGAAATTTTCTGGCATGTGAATTGTAATAGGGCAAAAAGCGGGAATGGGTGTCAAATGGTGCCTTTGGAGATGTGTCCCATGTCAGGGGGAACCAGAGGAGGTTGAGGCAGGGAGGCTGGGCACTAGGAAAACACTTGTCTGGGCCCTGGTATATGTAGAAAGGTGCTCTGTGTTGTTTGGGCCAAGTCTTCAGCAGGGCCTGGAGAGGTGCCCCTGCAGAGGGTACTTGCCACTGGAGACAGCTCCTCCTTCCGCAGGGAAAGGAGAGGGTTGGAGATGCTGGTGTCGCTTCCCTGCTCGCTGTGCCAGGGGGCTGCCAGCGCTGTGGGGCACCGCGTCCCCCAGACCTCATCCCCTCTGGTGCAGGGGCAGAAACCAGCTCTCCTCCCCTGGCTGGGGCTGCTCTTCCTGCGCAGGTCTGGCCCCTGCAAAAAGGGATGTGCCTGCCCTAATCAGCAAAAGAGGGCAAGAAACCCTTCTTCCTCTGTGGATGCTGGAGGTGGCTGCAATACAGCCCGGAACCCGATAGGAAATGCAGTCAGCAGGAAAGGGGCCGAGGCACAGCCGCTCCGGGGGGCCAGAGGGGCTCTGACAGTCCAGCTTCCTCCCACCGCCACCCGCACACTGTCCCAGGGCGCCGGAGGGGTTTCCTTCTCTTTTCCTCTCCATGGCAGCACGTGAGCGCTGCCAGAGGTCACAGCATTGGGGCCACGTTCCCCGACACCGTGTTGTTACTTAATATTTGGTGGGCACTGCAGAGCTCTTTTTTTTTTTTTTTTTCTTTTGGCAAAAAAAATCCTTTCAGTGAAATTTTCTGGCATGTGAATTGTAATAGGGCAAAAAGCGGGAATGGGTGTCAAATGGTGCCTTTGGAGATGTGTCCCATGTCAGGGGGAACCAGAGGAGGTTGAGGCAGGGAGGCTGGGCACTAGGAAAACACTTGTCTGGGCCCTGGTATATGTAGAAAGGTGCTCTGTGTTGTTTGGGCCAAGTCTTCAGCAGGGCCTGGAGAGGTGCCCCTGCAGAGGGTACTTGCCACTGGAGACAGCTCCTCCTTCCGCAGGGAAAGGAGAGGGTTGGAGATGCTGGTGTCGCTTCCCTGCTCGCTGTGCCAGGGGGCTGCCAGCGCTGTGGGGCACCGCGTCCCCCAGACCTCATCCCCTCTGGTGCAGGGGCAGAAACCAGCTCTCCTCCCCTGGCTGGGGCTGCTCTTCCTGCGCAGGTCTGGCCCCTGCAAAAAGGGATGTGCCTGCCCTAATCAGCAAAAGAGGGCAAGAAACCCTTCTTCCTCTGTGGATGCTGGAGGTGGCTGCAATACAGCCCGGAACCCGATAGGAAATGCAGTCAGCAGGAAAGGGGCCGAGGCACAGCCGCTCCGGGGGGCCAGAGGGGCTCTGACAGTCCAGCTTCCTCCCACCGCCACCCGCACACTGTCCCAGGGCGCCGGAGGGGTTTCCTTCTCTTTTCCTCTCCATGGCAGCACGTGAGCGCTGCCAGAGGTCACAGCATTGGGGCCACGTTCCCCGACACCGTGGCCACTGCAGGGGCACTGCCTGGGTAGGGGGCGAGGGGCAAGGGACATGGGCCAGCCCACCAAGCCAGAGCTGCTGGGGCACGAGCCATGGGCTGGGGGAGAGCCCAGTTTCCCCCTCGCGGCTGCCTGTGTGTTCCCTGAGCCAGCAGCTGCCTGCCAGGAGTCTGGTGCTTGCTTTTATGTCTTTTATCAGATCTGTCGGTTTTCAAAGGGTGGTTAGACCTCAGTAGTGGTGGAGCATTAACCTGCTTGGAGATAGGATTTTTTTCCTGCAGGATGGGGCACAGCAGTAATTTGGGGCAGGATATCATCCTTATGTTATCAGGAGAACAGCACAGAAAATCTGCCTTTGAACATGCTCCCGGCTGGGTCCTCATTTGAATTAGAGATTTGTTCTGTGCAGTTGTTGGGTGGAGAAGGAAGGTGGATTTGAGCCCAAATCAGAGGCTGGTTTGGGCTGGTTCGGGCAAGGCGGCTTGGGACCACGTTGGCTTCTGGTCTGCTTTGCAGTATGGGCTCCAAACACCCCTGGTCCTGCAGAACCTGGGTACTCCACTGTGGGTGTCACGAGAGTGAAGGCACATCTTCTGGTCTCCATGTGTGCCGTGGGTCAGGCCCATCTCCTGGTCCACGTGTGCCGTGGGTCAGGCACATCTCCTGCTCTGCACCTGCTGCATGTCCCTGGCTCCAGGAGCCCCACGCCTGGAGGTGACATTTTAGAGCAGCCCGTTGGGCAAGAGCAGGGGACAGAGCTTGGCTCCCCACACAATGCTCAGCTTGCAGCAGTTTTGTGTAGAGGTGTGTAACAGGGCAGGATCACAGAGATGGGTTCTGGTCTCCTGTTTGAGTTGAAGGTGGTTTGGGTACTGATGGCAGAAACAGGGTGAGACTTGGCACAAAGCAGCCATTCTGCCCTTGTCTTCCCTCTCCCAGGAGACAGCTCTGGAGTGCCACTTTGGGACAGAGAGGACGTTTGAAGCCCGGTGGGTGAACTCCTCGGCCGTGGAGTGTCTACACGTGCTGGTGAGTTGGGGGGTGAGGCCACCAGCCTCTGCTCCCCCCACGGTGTGGGGCAGGTCCCAGGGCAGGGAGGGTCTTGCCCCCCAAACCTCCCACCCAGTGGCTGGGACACCGCCTCCCCTCTTCCTTCCCTGCACTTCCAGCTGAAAAAAGTTGACTGGGTTCCCCCCTCCAGCAAGAGGCTCTTTGCCTGAGCTGATGCTGCATGGGCGTTCACGAATGGCCGATGCTGCGTTGTCTGCTCCGTGGGTCCTGCAGCTGCAGACCCTGCTTTGCCGGGGCTTGGGAAGGAGCTGCTTGTTTACCTTGCTAAACGGCAAGAGTTCAGTTCAGGCAAAAAAAATTGGCCACCTTTCAGTGTTGCTATTTCTGTAGCTTTTATTCTGAGCTAGGAATTGGCCTGAGAAAACGCTCAGAGGCTCACCGAGGAGCAGCGTGTGGTTGTTGGAGGGCAAACTCTGAAACACAGCAAGCGTTTGGGCTTCCCCCAATGGGAACGCTGTGAGCAGAAGCTGGAGAGGAGCACTTCCCATCACATCACCTGCAGAATTCCGTACTGGAGCCCGGTGCTGAAAATGCGCAGAGTGGCCAGTCTGTTTTCCTGCCTGTTCCTGCTAAAACTAGGGGCAGGCGAGGGCTGTGCTCTCCCTGTGGTGTGCACCGTGCCCCGGTGCCCTGCGTTGGGACCTCAGTAGAACAGTTAAAACAGAGAACAGCCTTCTCTCTGCTAAAGAGGAGACCCTCCTATACTGAGAAGCAGTGGTCAGAGAAGCCTCAGAGGAATGTTAATCCATGTAGTGTGCATATGGAACCTCATATTTACTAAATTTCCTAAGCTTTTGTTTATTTGTTTTTTGTGTGCAGCTTCACACATCAGAAAAAAGCCATCTCTTCCCAGTGAACCTTCAGCTGAAGGACAGACCAGACAGATTTATCGACAGTCCAGAGACGATGACAGGTCTGAGTTGGAAATATTTCTATTCTGCTCTCATCTGGTCAGCTTGAATGACTCTCAAATCCTGGCAAAGTTTATGGGTTCAGGAGCGAGACCATGGCTCAGCCAGGCACAGCTTGGCTCTTTCTCTCAGGCACACAGTGAAAAAGTGTTTGCCTGGAGCGGTGCCCGTGTGTTTGTGCCCAGGACCCCGACGGACGCCTGCAGATGTCCCTTTTGCCCCTGGGGAGAGTCAGGCCCTGTCCTTGAGTGCGGGCAGCAGCTGAGGTCAGGGTGTGCTGGTGTCTTGGTCATGGCAGAGATGTGGGGTGTCCCGGGGTCGGGGACAGATTCCTCCCTGAGGAGATCAGGGACAGGGGAGGGCTCTGCCCTGAGGTCCTTCAGGAATGTGGCATTAAGGTTCAGCACACTGTAAAAACAGAGTCTTTTTTGTTTTTCCCTCCTGTGCTGAGAAAGAATAAAGTGTGTAAACACATTTCACCCCTGGCCCGCTCTGTCTCTGGGAAGAGTGCTCGGATTCCCAAAACGCCCGTGCTGCATCAGCAGAGTGAGGCGGGCAGAGTCAGATGGAGTCTGCTCAGAGGAGGCATGTTGGTGGGACCAGCCTGGCCCGTGGCCCAACGGAGCCCACGCTTGCCCCATGGCCACCTCTCCCCACCCTGGCTGGACGTGGTGCACCCAGCGTGGGCTCTTGCCGGGGCAGCAGCGCCAGGCTCTTCTCCCTCTCAGGACTGTCAGCAGCCATGGGAGGAACTGATTTCCCCTCAGTGCAAATGAGAGCTAGATGCCTGAAGTGAGATTTTCTTTGGAGGATGGCTGTAATAGAGGCGTTAACACCATCAGCCACTGACCCAGGATAAAAAGGTTCCCCTGCAGTAAATCCCAGCATAAAGGAGGCTTATCTTGCAAAACATTCCACTTTGGTGAAATAACCTTTGAAACAGCGGTCATGGGCAGGCATGAGACACAGCTTCCCTGCAGAAAGAGGAGAGTGTCCGTGTGTTTTTGCCGCAGGGGTAGCCCCGAGGAGAGGGCAGGGAGGTCTGAGCTGGGGCTGTTCTGACCGGCCAGAGGGGACCCCTAGTTCTCAGCGTGGGAGGTGCTGGAAGCAGGAGCGGCTGTGGGGAGAGCATGGTGGGATCCCCCCACCTCCCATGTGGAGAAAGAACCGCTCACACAGGCTGTGTTTGCATCCATCTGAATTTGCCAGAATATTTGGAGGTCCCGCGGGACCGTTAGACTGCTCTGGCTCCTCCTCGCCTTGATCAGATTGGTGCAAGGACAATTAGAGAGGCTGACTTGTGAGCAGAGACAGAGATCTGCTGGGCCAGTTATAAACACCGGCATCTTTTTTACTGTCTGTAATGGAATTACTGTTACTAGTGTTTATTATTTCAATATGTATTCGCTTTTATTGTAAACTGCATTTTGGTAGTCCACTGAAGGAGTCCCATCCCTTTGCTGCTGGGTGGAAAACCAGCCAGTGCAAGTCACTGTGTGGACTCCAGAGGAGGTGAAATAAGCTCATTTTTTGGGGGAGAATGGGAGACTCCCTGGGTGCCAGTGATGTTTCCTTAGCACGGACACAGGCAGAAGGCTGACGGCTGAGGGATTCGTTAGCTGCTTATGAAGCGCCTTGAGATCCTCCTGTGAACAGAAGTGCAAAATGTGACGCTTGCTTTGTTTTATGTTCTCCTGCAAAGTCTCCTCTGGGGAATGGGGTGTGAAAGCACTGTTTCCTGAGTGTTTCTGGCTGTTTATCTCAGCGGATGCCCACACTCCGGCAGCAGAAGTCTTTAGGCTGGAGAGGAAACGTAACCCGGGGCACCAGCTAATGAAGAGGTGAAGGCAATGTAGGAAAGTGATGTGGAAGCTGAGCTGAGCAGATCTGAAGGGAGAACTCAATGAAAGGGGCCTGTGGTCACCAGGGGGAAGGAAAGGAACTGTAAACACTGTACAAAGCACTGTAACCATCCGATTTTTGCCAGAGTGTGGAAGCAATGTGATTGCTTTGCTAACAGGATGGAGCCAGCTTTGCCAAGCAGCTTCCCATGTGGATGCTGAGAGTTGGAAACATGTAGCATAAATTGACAAAAGGTTCCGAGTTTGGGTGTTGTTTGTTTTTCGAGGGGAAGAAAAAGGAAAAGAAAGTGCTAAATTATATTGCAGTGAGAACAAGCACCCAGTCCTTCTGGGAAATCTTCAGGATGGCAGCCAAGCGCTGCCTCATCTTGCTGTGTGTGCAAGCTGCTCTGCTCATCCCCTGGATTTTGGGTGTTCCTTGGATTAATGCAACCGGGGGGGTGAGGGTGGGAGAGTAGGGTAGGGGGGTGACTGCCTCAAGCAGAGCAGAGCTATGGCAGCCTGAGGCCAGGGAGCTCATGGTTCTGTTGTCTCTGGTGGTTTAGTGGAGGTGTACAACTGTGCGACCGGCAGCGCCGACTGCTCTCAGTGCCTGGGCAGGGAGGACCTGGGTCACCGCTGCCTCTGGAGCGAGGGCAGCTCCAGCTGCAGGCTGCACAGCGAGCCCCCCCAGCTCTCCGACCTCTGCCCGCCGCCCGAGATCCGCAAGGTAAGACCCCAACACGGCATGGGGGGTGTGCGTGGCATGGCAGGGGGTGAGGGGGCTGAAAGTGGCTGGGGACAACAGGGGAGCCACGCGTTGTCCCTGGCACTGGTCAGGGTCCAGCCCAGCACTGAATTATTCACTGACTTTGTACGCTGTTGAGTCACCTGATGCCAAGGACATCTTTGCTACTGACGAGATCCAATCTTCATCATATTAGTGGGAAAAACAGCAGCACAATCAACATGTCCCAGAGTTCCTGGGGTTGGTAAAAGTGAGAAAGATTTGTAGGGTTGGCTGAAGGATTCTTATCAGGACTAGCGTTTAATGGAGCATGGCTGAAGTGTGAACGTGAGCCCTATCTCCAGGCACATGTGCTCTGCAGTTCTGCTGAGATTAGGAGTGGCAGAGGGACCTTTTGGCATTATGCAGTTTGAAATGAGTTTTATTTAAATTGTAGTTGAATGAATGTTTGTTGGGGGCATTTGGATCTGGGATTCTGCTTAGAGGTATGGCGTGAGCCAACACATTTGTCCCTGACAAATAGCAAATCTTAAATTAAGCTCCCTGGGAAAGGAGAGGCTGGAGAGGCAAAACAGCTAATATGAACAGCGAAATTGGCAGGGATATGGGATTCCTCTTCTTAGTGGGGTGTATAATGATAGCTGCTCAAAACCAGGGTGCTGTAACACTGCATGAAGGGGCTGCAGGATCCCTACTGCCTGCCTCTTCCCTCTCATCACTGCGGGAGAGGGGTGCTCCCCCCGAGCCTGTCCTTCCCCAGCACACGTCAAGCATTATCAGCACCTGGCCAGAAAATAATGGAAGGAAACCACATACCAGCAAATAGCAGCTGGTAAATCCAAATCCTACAGAGTCACGGGAGCAAACAAGCCCTTGCAGAGCCCCCATGGAAGGGAGGGCAATGCAGCAGGTGAAGGACACCCAGCCTGGTGGTGGGTCCTGGCCAGCCCTGGCCGGCTTGGCCAGCTGATGCCACCAGGCATCTTGTGCTGGCTTTGTGTGCCATCACCTTTGCAAAGGGAAAAGAGCCATTTATGAATTGGAGGAATTTGTCTCACATGCTCAGTGATGTGGTCACACTGCCCAGGGATGTCCCTTGCGCAGTGGAACAGCGTCACCCTGTCCCCTCACAGCGGTGGGACAGCGTCACTATATCCCCTCGTGCAGTGGGGTCAGCAGCTGCCAGATGAACACCCCGTGGTGCAGGAGATGGATGGGGAACAACCTTCTCCTCCCACGGTGCTGGACTCATCCTGTGCCCCAGGGTGCCGCAGTCCTGGTGTCCTGGCCACGCTCCACACATCAGGACACTTTTTGACTTGTTTTTGTCATGAAGGGCCCTGCTGTGTTCAGGACAGCCCTTAAAAATGTGATGGCAGGACTCTCTTCCCAGCACAGTATCATCCCTCCTCTGGGTTTGTTTCTACCCCAACTCCACTCAGAGCTGTGGCGTGGAAGGAGTGACGTTTCACCCAGACGTGTTTGAAGCTGGAGTAATCCCTGACCAAACCTAGCACAAAATCATAGAATCATAGAATGGTTCGGGTTGGAAGGGACCTTAAAGTCTCCCCAGTCCCACCCCCTGCCCTGGGCAGGGACACCTCCCACCAGCCCAGGTTGCTCCAAGCCCCCTCCAACCTGGCTTTGGACCCCTCCAGGGATGGGGCAGCCACAGCTTCTCTGGGCAACCTGGGCCAGGCTCTCACCACCCTCATAGTGACAATCTTCTTCCTGAGATCCCATCTAAATGTATCTTATGGCTTCTTGTTTGCAAAGCTGCAGTTAGGGGAGCGTGGCATCAGGCACGCTGTGTGGGGAGCAGGAGTGTGAGGGGCCATTTGGTCTTCTTCATGGGGGGCCAAGTGGGATGTGGACACAGGTACGGGCTCAGGGATGAAGGACAGAAGCTTCCTGGTGGTTCCCTAATGACCTTTCCTGCAGATCGAGCCGCTGCGCGGGCCGCTGGAGGGGGGCACACTGCTGACCATCCGCGGGAGGAACCTGGGCCGACGCTTCAGCGACGTCCTGGGCGCCGTCAGGATAGGCAGCGTGCAGTGCACCCCGCTGCCCCACAGATACGTCGTCTCTGAGGCGTGAGTCCTGGGGGGGTTGGGGAGGAGGGCCCTGTCCCCCTGGTGTCCCCTGCCCGTGCCTGTCCCCGGGCAGGAGCAGGGCACAGACCTGGCCCAGCTGGGAGGTGGGTGCCCGGTGCCGGCGTTGGTGCTGCAGCCAGCACTGGGCAGCGCGCGGAGGAGGAGGCGACCATGGGCTCTGCCAGGGCTGTGGTGAGGTGACACAACCACCAGCCTTCCCTTTCCCCTCCGCAGGATCGTCTGCCAAACTGGAGAGGCTCAAGAGGCATTTTCTGACGTGGTGACAGTCAACGTGAGCCGGGAAGGGAGGTCCAAGGAGCGGTACTCCTACGTGGTGAGTGGCTGTCCCTGGGACGTTTCTTTGGTGATTCTCATGTTGACGTTCCCTGCACCCCTGAAAACAAAGCTGTAGCCCTGCACCCCAGCTGGCTTAGGAAGAGGGTCTATGACAGAGAGCATCGGGGTCCTGAGGAGCAGCTGGCGTGTCCCCTCCCCTGAGCAAGGTCTGGAGAGGCCAGGCTTGCACGAGAGGCAGGACTGCCACCGGGGTGTCACACATGACCTCCTCCCGGTCTCAGCTCCTGCAGGGGTTTGTCACTTATCCTGGCTGTGTCACTGTTGCTCCTGCCAGAAAAGGGGTCTCAGTTTTCTTTCTCCTCTTTTGCTAAAGCGGTGTTACTGCCTGTGAGATTTTTTGAGACTTGCAAAGTCTCTTTGTGCTGTGGAAGTTACGTACCATGGACTCATATTATTCAGAACTGGTATTTTTTTCTGCAGAGATTGTCTTAGTTTTTGCATGGGAATAATGTGCAGGGATTAGACTTGAGCTAACACCGTGTCTTTATACAAAGAAAAGCCCTTTATAGCTTTGCGCTGTACCATCTCACACAGATAACTTGCATCTCTGAAAGAAATCCGTGCATTTCTTCTCTTTCCTAGAAGCACCCTGCTCCCTGGCTGGAGGCTGTTTACGGGCAGCCTGGGGCAAACCCAGCGGGGTCGGGGCCAGGGGCTGCAGGTGAGTGGCTTGAGAGAGGACTTGAGCCCCAGGAAAGGACTCCTGGTAGCGATTGTGAGGAGCTTAGGGCAGGATCACAAAGTGCAGTCCCCCACCCTGTAACCCATGGTGTGCCAGGCATATATTTCCTGGAGGCTTCCCAGCTGACAGAGGCAGGGCACGTCCCGGCGCCCCGACGCAGAGCCAGCCCTGGCAGGGCACCAGGAGGGGACTGGCAAGGACAGGGCACTGCTGGGCTCAGCACTACTTCCCGGGGACACATTCGCTCCAGGACCCATTCCCGTCATTTCCAGGCGTCCATGTTCACATCCAGAACATCTTAGAGACCCAGCAGTACGGAGTGGAGAGAGGTGTGACCGTATCGGACCCTGGGTTTGGGACTTCTGGTGCATTGCCATCGGGGTGTGTGTGATGGCTGGGCCACCTCGCCTGCTGCCGGGCCGATTGTCTTCTGGACAAAGAGGAGAAGGGCCGGAGGAGTGGGAAAGGGCTGGGCGGCTCCTTCACCGGCTTTCAGCACGCGAGGAAAAGCCCTCTCAGGAAGCACCTGTAAAAGCACCAGCGCTGAGCGAAGCAGGAGGAGCAAAAGCCAGAGGCTGGACTCAGAGGAGGGCCGTGGCAGCTCCATGCTGGCAGCTCCCAAGCAGGGCTACAGCAGAGGCTGTCCTCCCAGCCTCTGTGTCTGTCCTGTGTCTGTCCCAACAAAGCTGGGAGGAGATGAGACAGTGCCCTGCTCTGTGCATGCCTGTGTCAGGGGAGAAGCTGCACCACGTGTTTCACACCAAAAGTGGCTGCTCCCACCGGCTCTTGCTGAGGGGAAGAGCTGGAGGGCTTTGGGCAATGTGAATAATCCTCTCTGCTGTTGTAGCTGCAGATTTGCATGCATGGGTTAGGGGCGAAGGGCAGGAGACAGCTGCCTGCAGACACTCAGAGAAATACAAATTAATACATGTGGAAATGGGTAATGATCAGAAACAGCAGAGGAAATGGCTGCAGAGAAATAAAGCAGTCTGAGTGTAGGACAAGGGCAAAGATAGCTATTAATAATCTTGTTTGCATGGCTGGGACTGACAGGAAAGGGCACTGGCAGCAGGCGGCACGGCGCGGCTCAGCCCGGGTTCCTCGCTCCTCTCAGCGCAGCTTTGCTCTGCGGCGAGGGACGGGCTGCGGCGGTGAGAGGTGGCAGCCAACCTCCGCAGGGCCTCCTGCCGCCAGGGTCTGCGGTGTTTGACAGGGAATTACCAAGTGGAAGGGTCTTGAAATCATTATTTGCTCTGCCCTTGGCGTCCTATTCAAAGCAGAGCAGGGAGGTTGCCCAGCAGACTCTCCTGGGGCACTCCGTGTCGCAGGCAGGAGGGTTCAGTGCTGCATTAGTTATCAAAGCCTCAAGCTCATGAATCTCAGGAAGATTTCCAGGGGCTGCAAATGCAGATAACATACATGCTAATTTCTGCTGAAAATGGTGAGAAGCAAAGTAACTTCCCCCTTAGTTCCTGTTGCCTCAAGAGATTCAGATTTGAAGCTTCCTTAAGAAGGAGTTTGATATTCAATTATCTCCACCCAGGTGGCTTTTTTCACAGATCTCAAGGCCATCATCCAGTGGGGCTTTAGCATTAGCTTCGCATTCAGGAGGAAATGGATATGGAAGGGCAGAGACAGTGGGAGCTGGAATGAATGAGAAATTTCCTTTTGTTGATGGACCTTGAGCTGTGGCCAGCTCTGGACCCTCCATGGGAAATCTCAAGGGACTGGTGGGATCCTGGGCTCCAGTTTGGACTCATGTCTCATTTACTGCCAGAATTTGGGGACTGCAGAGGGTCACAGAGGTTTTACGTGATCTCACTCCTCAGCCCTTGTACCTCTCTCCTTGTTCTGAAACCCTGCCAGGAGAAGCTTTTGCTGTGCTGCTGTTTCAGAGCCTCACAATACCGGATACTTAAATTTACTGAAGCAAATCCCACGTGCAGTGTGGGGTAGCCAAATGTGAATTTACCAGGCTAGAAAACAGATTTCCCCTTTGTTTTTAGCTTCCCGTGGTGCAATCCATAGCTCCCCTGAATGGCCCGAAGGCTGGAGGAACCAGAGTGACCATCAGAGGCAGCAGGCTGGACGTCGGCTCTGAGCTCCGTGTCCTCGTCAATACCTCCAAGCAGTGCACTGACCTCAGGTGGGACTGGTCTGGGGGCTGGCACTGAGCTAGTGACAAGAGCCACACCATTAGGAAGGATGATAATTGTCCCCCAGGAGATCAGAAAGAGATGGGAGTTGGGTGGGGGCCACCACTGCATGCTGCTGCTAGCCTTGGAGCCCCTGTAGCTTCCCCACTGGCCCTCCTGGCTGCCTCCTGCCCCGTGTCTGTGTCCCTGAGTGGTGATGCAGAGCAACGGTGCGAGTCCCTGACACCAGGATGGAGCAGGTTTCTTTGCCAAGGTGATGGCATCGGTGTTGCCATGATGTGGTGGTGGTGACCAGCAGCAAACGAAGTGCTTCTCACATGCCATTTGCAGGATGCTGCCGGGCCCCGTGGGTGGGCTGGGATCAGGACCAAAACCGTGGTCCTGGGAGCGAAGCAGAGGCGGGCTTTGTTTCCAGATCTGCCAGAGGCAGAAGGCACCTGCCTGCCCAGGGTCCCGCTCCTGCGGCACCTTGCAAACACCTTGTCCCCTGTGTTCCCATCTCATCAGTGGGAAGAAGGAGGAACCTGCCCTTTTCCTTTGGCTGTGTGGGAAATCCATCTGGCAGCCTGGGATGGTATATGTCTGGAATTGCTTGTTAGTGGGCAATGTAATTAATAGGTGACTGGAAGCTCCCTCTTGCCCGCTCTGCTGACAACTTGCTTCCCTGGGTGCTCAGTGCCGCGGTGCCCGGCTCTGGCCACTCTCTTTGCCGTGGTTTCGGCACTTACCCTGCCTTTCCCCGTGCAGCCGCAACGACAGCACCATCACTTGCACTATGCCCTCTGCGGAACTCACCACCGCCGTGCGAGTCTGTGTCCAGTTTGAGAACAGGTCTTGTGCCAGCTACAACATCACCTTCAAATACGAGAAGAACCCGGTTATATCAGACATCAACCCCAAAAAGAGTCAGATCAGGTGAGATCCCTCCCCCAGCGGGAACAGCCATGTCTGCCAGGATTTGTGGCCTTTGTTGAGTTCAGCCTTGTAATTTTTGCCGAATGCAAAAGTGAAGAGCGCTCTCCCATCAAAGCACAAGCTAATCGGAGTTCCCTGGTGTAGCCCACTGCCCGCAACGCCAGCTCACCCTGTCTGTGCTCCAGGCCATCCAGAAGCCAAGCAGATCCTGAGAAAGCTCCATGTCGGGAGCCCAGGAGTCGCTGAAGCCCAGCCAGGAGGCAGCACACGGTGTGGGGGCCTGTGCCACGCTCTTGTAGCATCATGACTTCCATCTCAGAGCTGGCACGTGTCTGCATCTGTCTGCAAAAGAGAGGGACGGCTCCAGGCTGGTGGGAGAGGGTCCGGCAGGGGGAAAGGGGACCGTGGGGTCTGACACCTTGCCTTGCAGACCGGTACAAAAGGGGTACCGCAGAGAGCTCTCGGGGCACTTTGGGTACCCCAGCACTGGAGTGGAAGAGGTCTCACACACAAGGACTATCTGTAGCTCATTTCAGTGCATTTAAGACATGGAAAAAAGTCAGCCTTGGTAACTGTGTACACCTGGTGGGTGCTTTAGGTTCAGGTGGGGGGCCTCTATGAGACCCTGAGGACTTTTCTTGGCAGTAAAACTGCTGGAGGATAAGTTGAGATTTGTGATTTTGGATTTCAGACTTCCCGAGGTCACAGTATTTCATTTTTAAAGCGTGTTGCTTTTAATTTCATGTCTCTCTGAGGAGCTCTCAGGCTCCTGTTCCTTTGGATACCATGGTGAGACCCCACCGTTCTAGGCTGTGGAGCCGGCAAAACCGAGGGCTGACCAAGAAATCTGAGAGTCCAGTGCCTGTGCCTGCAGGCCCACGCTGAAAGCAGCAGGCACCGCCGCAGGCTCCGCCGGGCTGAGCCCCTTGGAGCGAGGCTGTGTCTCGGCATTCCCAAGCACAGCGCCAGAGATGCGGCTGTGGGAAAGTTAATGACAAGGCAGAGCGGTGACTCAGCCAAGCCCAGCTCCTCGCTGGCCGGCGGGCTCTGCTGAGCAGCGAGAGCCGTGGCTCAGCACAGAGACAGGGGAAGAATGTCACTGCCCATATTCACCAGGGAAACCACCAGGGTATTTCTCCGTCACCTTCGTCTGCTTTCTTAGTAATTAGAGCAGTTTCTGAATTTCAGACGGCTGAGAACGTGACACAGGCTGCTTGGTGGCTTGTGGAGCCCAACTGCTCCAGTGCCTTTCTGGGCTGTTGACCATGAGGTGTCAATAACTTGTCTAAAAATTTAGCTGTATCTGATTTGTCTTACTATACTGATAAAAAATAAAAATCTGTGTAAGCAAAGTTTAAAACAAAACAGGAGTTGTAAACTAGTCTGCAGGCTCTTAGTTAAAAACTTGGATTATAACTACGTGGTAATATCTACAGTGTTGTAAAAGGTTTCAGACAACTTGACTTTCGGGGCCTTGGACTCAAAGCCACTGTGTCTGGAGCGGCCTTGAGATAATGAGATTTTTAAGTCCTGACTGTTCCTGACTGTTCCTCCCAATGGACCAACTGTGATGTGGAGGAAGGGGCAGGTAGACCCGGGGTGCAGCTTCTGCTGCCCGCAGCAGGCAAGCGGCGCTGCTTCTCCTTCCCTTGCTCTGCCTGTGTGCATCAGGGCCCTCGTTACTGTTGTTAATTGACTGCACATTGAGAGGCCCATGTTTCGCATTCCCCAGGCAGCAGATCCAAAACACAAAAACTTTCACATTTTGATCTAAATCAGAAATGTCTGGGAGATACGGGATCCCTGTCAACCGTAAAGGGGTCTCCTCCCTCTCCAAGACTTAGAGTTCTCTGTGGGGCAGGGACAGGGAATATCTCCCAGCCCTTGCTTTGGGGGTTGGAGGTTAACCTCCTACACCGCCGGTGGCCTGGGCAACCTGCCGCATGGCCCTGGCGTGCAGAGGCAGGCTGCTCCTCTGGGGAATGGGAACAATGGGGGCAGGGGAGACAGTTTTCTGCTGTGGGAAGAGGTCCCCCTGATCCATGACTGCAGCTGCTGCTCCTCCTCCCTTCCCTGATGTCCTGGTAGCAGTGTGGGTGCTTGCTGCAGGTAGGAGTAAGACTTTGGCTTGGGTCACATTTTCTGCTCAAGCAACTGGGAAACATCCCTGGGGAAATGGCAGCAGGCAGCACCTAGCCATTGCTCCTCGCTGCTCTGTGTTGTCCCCTGCAATCACCCTCTCTTTCTTCCCTTCTCCTTGCAGCGGGGGCAGGATCATCACCCTGGAAGGAAGAGGCTTTGAGCTGGTCCAGAACGTGTCCATGGTGGTCCGTGGCATCGGCAGAGAGCAAACGGTGGGTGTCCCCATTGGGTATTGCCTGGTGATCAGGAGCGGGGCTGCGCGCCCGGGGCCTGAAGGCCTTCAGGGTGTGAGGCTGAGGGTTTAGCCCGTGGCTGGGCATGAGCACTCAGGATGTCAGGTTTTTTATGTGCCCGCTCTCTCCTGCTTCCAGAACTGTAAGGTTCACACTGACACTGTGATCACCTGCCCCTCTCCGGCTGCCTCCAACATCACTGCAGGGAGCAAGCCCGCTCCCGTGGATTTCTATCTCAACGGCCGCCTCTATGCGGATGACCGTCCGGCTCTGGATGAGGAGATGTACCCCGAGGAGGCCTTGCACATCAGCAAGTTCAGCCTGGAGTACTATGCCGACCCCCAGTTCTTCACAGCCAAGAAGGAGAAGTGGATCAAGCACCACCCTGGCGAGCCCTTGACTCTGGTTATACATGTAAGAGAGTGGCATTTACAGCTCTGCTGCTTCTGGGGCGTTGCTGCTCCCCATTGGGAAGCTCTTCAGTCCGGAGTGCCAGCACAGTGGCTGTCCACAAAGGCAGGAGGGAGAAGGGGGGTGATGAGGATGGGGGAGGCAGGAGCAGGCAGTTCCTGCATCAGTCTTCACCGGGAGATGTGACCTGAGGATGCCCTTTGAGGCGTGATGACAGAGCTGTGTTTGAAGGATGTAAGAGCAAGAAGCTAAATGAAATACTGGACGTACGAAAAAGAACGATAAAGGCAGGTACTCCAGAAGGTCCTGACAATAGATATTTATTCCTGCAGAATCAGGTCATGCATTCTTCTCTTTTGGCTACTGAATTCAGCTCAGTTAACAAGGAAGTCAGGCTACAGCAGTTGGGTGGCTTGGACAATGTGCAACAGTAATTCAAAGGCCATTGTTCACTGCAGGATATCCTCACGGGTTGCAACGTGCTTGAGAAACACACCCCCCTTTTCTCAGGCCCCGCAGACGCATCCCCTGGCTGTCTCCTCTGCTGTACATCCTTCCCCCCTCCCAGGTGGGCGCTTAGACCCTTATCTGTGGTGCACAGCCAGAACAGATCAAAAGCAGATTTTCCCAGGTTCCACGAGGGGCTTACTCGTCCCGTGCCCCATGCGGAGTGAGGAATGGGAAACAGGAAAATGGGGAATGGCCCGGTTCCGGCTTTCCTGTGGAGTGCTGGAAAAATGTCCTTGGTGAGGGGGAGTCCTTCCAGGCCTGAAACACAGCAGGGAATATGGCAAGTAAAGTAGGAAAATCCGTTGCAATTCCAACTGCTACTCTAAAGGCTGACATCCTGATTCTATTTTTGTCCTTAGAAAGAGCCTGACAGCCTGGGCCTGGAAAGCAATGAGTACCAGGTGAAAATTGGCCTTATCTCGTGTGAGATCCAGATTGTTTCGGACAAAGTCATCCACTGCTCTGTCAACGAGTCGCTGAGCACCTCGGAAAGACAGTTGCCAGTGACGGTGAGTGCCAGGAGCCTCGGTGCCCCAGGTGCACAGGGCAGAAGGGGTCCCTGTTGCCACCCCGCCTGCGGAGGAGCTGCACGGACAGAGGGGTGGACAAAGCACCCCATGCCATCCCGGAGGGGACTCGGCGGTGGGACACGGGCACAGGCAGCACTGAGGCTGCCCTGGGTGAGGGAGACGGGCTGCCGCCAAGTTAACCGTGCTGTAAGCTGGGGGCAGGGAGATTTTGTCAGTTCTTGTAAGGCACTGTGAAACCCCAGGCATGTGAGGTTTTGTCACTTGCAGTGATTTTCTTTCTGCCCTTCGTGAGACATGTTTGGGGATTTCCGTACAGTTTTCAGTCAGCTGGGCCTCTTCCTGCCAGCAGCAGAGCTACGAGCTGACATGAGAATGTGACCCTCACCCTCAACAAGCCACTGGAGATGGGTCCCTGCGAGTGACCGGGGAGGGCAGGAGGAGTGCACAGGGCTGGAAGCTTCCGTGTTGCCATTTTGTCACTGCAAGGAGTTCGGTCTCCAGGGCTGTTGCTCATCTTTGTGTTTGCAAAATTCACAATACTTGGTTACCATCCTTTTTTCCACAGAGGGTTTGGCTTAACTCCTGGCCCTCAGTGTCCCTCATGTCACACACAGCCCATTGGCACGCAGGGATGTGACCATGGCTCTTCGTATCGGCAGAGAAGAAGCCTCCATTGCCATGGTCTGAGACCCTGCAAGCCTCCTCCCAGTCCCCGAGTTAACAGTGAGTGGTGGGAGCCTGTGGTGCAGGCAGGGAGGAGGAGGAGGAAGGCTGCCAAGGGAGGTGAGGAGGCTGTGGACTTGCACTGTCCAGAAGGCACAAAGGTGCACCACCAGTTCACTGACAGGGTTGTCCCATTTACTGGTTACAGCCTGTGGTGTGTTGCAAACTGGAAATATGGAAATGCAGAAGTAGCAGAATTTCCCAAGTCATTTTAATGGAAATTTTAAATAGGGTAATTTTGGTTTTAGTGAGAACTGAGAAACAGGGAAATCCCTTTGGGGAAGAAAAGGAATTTATGAGTTTGCTAGTCTTGGTTTTATATAAAACATTCAGGGCAGTGCCTTAGTAGGTTCCTAGGAAGAGGAGAATGATAAAGTATCACATAGCTGTGAAAGGTGTACCAGAGTGAGAGTGCAGCCAAATAATCAACTTGTATTCATGTCTGTGCACACTTACTAACCCCTCAGCCGTGGTTTGGGTTATCGCCGGCTGGTCGTTCCCCAGGCAGCAGCCGCCTTGGTGCAATTCCTGTAATGGCTTTGATCACGCGGGGCCTGGCTTGCGCTGTGGGCCCTGCCCGCCCCACAGCGAGGGGACTGGGGGGGCTGCAGGAGCGTCACTGGCCGAGGCAGGTTCTCTCCTCCAGCGAGTGAGGTGCCTGTTGCTGTGACTGCCTGCTTTGTTCGTGCAGAGCTCACATCTGCAGTGATCAGAGCACCGTGATTTTGGGTATGCCTGCTCTCTCGGGCCAGGTCTGTGTTAGCAAGTGGCTAACTTGAAGATGGGGCTTCTGAGCCTCTCTGTGTTCTGGGGGTCACTTTGGAGCAGCAATTTTGGCAGTGCCTTGGGTGAGCTGGAGCTTGATTTTGGTCTAGTTTAGTCCCACGGGGATCCCATTCGAGCCCTGGGAGGCTCCAAGACGGCTCCATCCCCTGAGCTGGAGCAGTTCCCGGTGACCCCCAAGGTGGCCCTGTGCCACAGGAGTCCTGACAGCCCCGACAGCTCTTCCCAGGAGCAGGGTTTCCACCAGTCCCAGCCCCCCTGCACCCCACGATGTGCTGGTGACAGGAAATGTTGCCATTTAACCTGCAGTCTAATTAATTCCCTTTACAAAAAATTGTGTTAAGTTAGACCAAGCTAAATAAACAAGAGAAGCTTGTGGAGGCCTTCAAACCCATTTTTGTTCATGACCAAACTGCTTGAACACTGAGTTAAACAGCAAGCTTGGGATTTCTCCTCTGGCAAATGCAAAAGGTTGAGCTTGTGGGGAAAAAAAAGACTCGGAATGCATCAAGGACTTGCCTCATTGCAGCGTTTCAGAAGAAAGAGGTGGAAATCTTGAGGCTGGGCAGGGTGCTGTGCAGACTGTGAAAAGAACCTCTGCAGATGATTGTGTGACACTTGTGACTCCCCATCCAGCCTCTCTGCTCCCCGCCAGCGTGCGCCAGGGTGGAGATGGAAGCTCTTAGTGTTGGACGCTGCCCAGAGGCACCACCCCAGGACCCACCATTGCCAGGGTCTGTCCGAGGGCTGGTACAAGGGCACGTTGGGCTTGGAGCTGCGGGAGCCTGGCTGCATGGTTCAGCGCTGATGGTTGGAGGTGCTGAAGGTTTTTCTGACCCTGGGTGATGGCAGCCAGCATTGTCTGCGGCAGCCCCCAGGCTTGTCTGGGTGCCTCCAGCTGCAGCACCAGTACCGTCAATGGTGCTCCTGAGAGCAAGGGCTTGGATTTCCTGGTGAGCATGGAGCTGTGTGCTATGTGATGTTTGATGCATCGTGGTGGGAAGGCCCTGCTTGTGGCACTGCTTTGTCCCAGCTGCTGAGAGCTGACTGTGATTTAACCACATGTGAACCTTTCCTGGAGATGCTCCATGACGCAGATGTAATCAAGATTATTCCATCTCTTCCCTACCTCATTTCAGTTTTTTTGCCCAAGTTTCTCTCGCTTCTCGTTCCTTGAGAGAAGTGAAACTCACATTTCCAGAAGCGAAAGACTTGCATGGTCATGAGTTTTCCTTATCAGATGATGCTGTCGAGCCCTTTCATCCTGGGGGCCCAAGAGCCATTTATAAACAGCGCCCAGCAAACTCGCCCGCCTGCCTGTGATGTGTGTTGGCCTCTTCTCTTCTGGTGGTCAGGAGACCAAAGGACTGAGCTCAAGTGGTTTGTGCTTGGTGTCACAAGAAGTATGGGTTGGGAGCAGAGCCAACACCTCCTGACACCCAGTCCACTGCTTTAGCTGCAAGATCATTACTTGTCTCTGGTCGCATTCTTACTTATTTTTATTCCCTTACTTTATTTGTATTTTAAAGACTTTAAAGTTCCTTCACCCTCCTTTTCCTGAGTGGCAGCAGTTCTGCTTTTGGAGGAGAAAGGAGAGTTCAGCTGGGATTCAGAGCCCATTCAGAAGTGTAACAAAGTCATGTTAGTGGAAGTGGTTTTCTAGTAAAATAGCCCAGGCAATACTATGTGGTGTGGTGAGCTCTCTAAGGGGGGGGTGTCTTGTGCTCTGGGGTGGGCACAGTGGGGCCATGACGTGGTCTGGAGCCCGTGGCTCTGCCACTGAAGTCATGTGGTGGCCCTGGGAAGGGCACCACTGTGGTACCACAGCCTGCTGTGAGCCAGCCTCAGCTTTCCACCAGGGCACACAGGAGGGGAATTGGGCTCTTTTGAGACACACAAAGTCCTCGAGGTCCAACTGTGAAAGGCACAGCCCGGTGTGCCCACGAAGCCTGGTGGGCTGAGCCAGCGTGGCCAGTACATCCTTGGGCGAAGGTCGGCTGGGTGCTGCCCCATAGTCCCTCCTCGCTCCACCTCTGAGATGCTGAGCTCCTGCTTTTCCACCCTCTTTCTCCCGCTCTAGATCCAAGTTGGAAAGTTCAACTACACAATTGCGATGCTGCACCTTGGGGGAGGAGAGACTGCGATCATCGTCTCCATTGTCATCTGCAGCATCTTGCTCGTCCTCTCTGTTGTAGGTAAGGGAACGGAATGATGTTTCCAGGCTGTGACAAGGTTTTTTATCATTGCATGTGGAGGGGTGAAGATGACTTACTGACACATAAGGAAACCTCGGGTGCTGCAGTTGTACAGTATCTGAAACCGGTCTGGGTGCAGCAAGTGCCACTCTTCTTTGTACAAGACCAGGCCATACCCAGGATCAAAGCTTCCTGCAACATGGAGAATTTGCTGGCTGAATTCATAGTTCAGCTCTGTTACTTGAGCCTGAGATATTTATAAATTTACCCTTCTCCTTCAAACACTTAGCAGCTACTATAATACAAAACAAAGAAGAGTGTGAGAAACCGCTCTTGGACTGGTGCAGACTTGAACAGGGCTCACTCACAGGCATGACTGTCCCAGACCATCCCTGAGGTCTACCAAGCCCCAGGTCCTGTCATCAGTAACAGCCAGTGACATGTGCCTGGCAAAGAATGTGAAGAGCAGCGCAAGTGTCGGCGGCTGCAGCTCTGGAGCAGACACAGGGTTTGCTATCCTCACTGGAAGCTGTGCAGCACACCTGTGTCCTTTGGCTGGGGCATCTCCTCATTGCGTGCCCAGAATGACTCTGTGCCAGGAAACCTGTCACTGACAGCAAATCAGGTGTTCCTAATAGGGACTTAATTTATTTTTAATAAAGGTTGTAACACACGCTATTTATTAAACGTACCACCTGTCATTAGAAACATACTTCTGGAGGCATGAGAAGACTGTCAGGCATGAACACTGTAATACAGGTGGTAAACGTCTTAAAATCTGTATTCATTAATCAGCTGGAATGCATTAATATACAGTTAAGCTGAATATAAGCAGCCCAGACCTAAACTGAATATGACAGTTACAGCATGATCATTAAATTCCAGCTGGTTTTACTTATTTACAGATATTGACAATTGCCTGATCAGATACCAGTCTTGTTGTAGGTGTTAAACCAATGCTGAATTTAGCTTTCTGAACCCGTGGCCGCAGAGGACCACTCTGATCCCAGCTGCAGCTGCTCCCCAGCCCTAGTCCAAAAGGCTTGTTCCTTTCCTCTTTTCCAGCTCTCTTTGTGTTTTGCACAAAGAGCCGCAGAGCGGAGCGCTACTGGCAGAAAACCCTGCTCCAGATGGAGGAGATGGAGTCGCAGATCCGGGAGGAAATCCGCAAAGGTAAGTCACTGTGCTGGGCCGCGAGACGGAGCCAGGACTGGGAGGGAGGTGCTGGAATAGCAGGGTTTAGGCTGTTCACCTTCTACTCTGTAGAGGTTCATAGAACTATTTACAGGAGAATTTCTGTCATCACCTTTGAGCTTCGGCAGGGTTTGTGAATGAGGCTCGGTGGCCGGAAGGGTGGCTTGGCCGCTCTCTGGCTGCCTGACTCAGGCAAGCCACTGATTTTCAGTACCACTGCTTTATCTGTCCTTGGGTTAACATCCCTTGGCCGTGTCACAGGGTTGCTTGAAGGCCACGCTAACCTTTAGTGTGCTTTACCATTGGGTAAATTGCAGCATGCTCCTGCTAGAGCCGTGGGAGAAGCAATACAAGTGTCCACATCTGCTGAAGTCCTCCTCCTGCAGAAACTGTATGGGGGCTGCTCTTCTGGCAGGGGGGGACCTGTTCTCTCCATCAGTTCTGTGGGATGCTGAGGTTAAACCCTGCCAGCAATGGGATGCTCCTCCAGAAACCCTGCTTTGGCCACTTGAGGAGGCCGAGAGGAGCCATGCCATGCGTCACTGTGCCAGCCTGCTACTGTCTCAGCTGGTACAGCCTCAGAGCTCTTACTGTCTGCGGGTCTCTCTGTGTCAGGTTTTGCAGAATTGCAGACGGACATGACAGACCTGACCAAGGAGTTAAACCGCAGCCAGGGGATCCCGTTCCTGGAGTACAAGCACTTTGTCACCCGGACCTTCTTTCCCAAAGTAAGGTGATAGCCGTCACGGGCACTGCATTGCTCCCAAGTCCTTCCTGACCCGATCAGGGCTCTGCTTTCTTCCTTCCAAAGGGTTATTACAGTGTACAAAACCATTCCCCTGTTTTATATTTAGTTGTCACGTATTTCAGCCTCAATTATCGTCAAAAGTGGAGCCGCAGCTCCTGGGGTGTGAAGTAAGGTCAGGCTCGCTCCCACACGAGAGGAGCCCGTTGGCAGTGCCATCCCTGCAGTTGCTCTGGCTCCACCGGTAGACGCTGTTGGACACCCTCATCCTAAAGCACTCTCTCCCATCAGCAGAAAGTTCTGGGGACACCCCCTTCTCCCCAGGGCTGTTGGACACCCTCATCCTAAAGCACTCTCTCCCATCAGCAGAAAGTTCTGGGGACACCCCCTTCTCCCCAGGGGCTCCAACATCACCCCACTCTGTTCTGCAGAGGCTGAAGGGCAGCTGAAGGGCATATCTGCTGGTGGCATTCAGGGAGAGGGGGCTTCTTGTTCCACGCAGCGTCCCCGGCTGCTCTGCTTGTCCTCAGGAGCTCATTGGATGTCTCTGTCTCCCCCTTTTTCTCCTCTCTGCCAAAAGCTGGGCGCACGGTGCTCCCAGTAGGACGCCCCTGTGGGCGCCCCGTCCCAGCCTGTCTCCCCAGCGTCCCCCAAGGGCCATGCCAGACGCGCCGGTGCCATAATTCCCGTCACCGGCTGCTCTGTGCGTCGCGGGGCGCCCTCGGCAGCGGCTGTATTTCACCCCCGAGGCAGCCACATTTCAGTGGTGAGGAGCGAGATGATGATTTATGACTGCAGAGTGTTTCATTAGTAGTTATTACTCAGGTTTTTAAGTTATCCAATCTCTATATATCTGCACACTGGAGTCGTTTAAGAATCCGGCTGCTATATGAATGTTAGGGATTTAAACATTTTTCCCATCTGTTTCAAAAGTTACATATGTTAAAAACACCCAGTACTCCTCTATTTTGACTTAGTCTTCTATAATGCTTTCTCTTCTGGGATTTTTCTAGCTGTCAAATTAGTCTATTTGCAGTCTCCCTGCCCTAACAGCCTCGTGTCTGCACAGACATCTGCCTCCCCTCATTCTTGCGGTGTTTTCTCATTCAAGAGGCTCTTGCAAAGTGTTTAAATGCTCTGTAACCCATACCAATGCGTTTCTTCCTAATGGGTGGTCCTCAGTCCCGATGACATGTCTCTCCATCTCGTTCCCTTGCGGTGCACGGGGACCGTGGGTGTCCCCGGCCGGCTGCGGCTGCCCTCCCCTAACGTGGTGCCTGTTTGCAGTGTTCCTCGCTCTACGAGGAGTGCTACGTCCTGCCGTCCCAGCAGCTCAGCTCCCAGGTGGGCTCCCAGGCCCAGGAAACTCACCCGCTCCTGGTGGGAGAATGGAAAGTGAGTAACCCACTAACAAAACCAATGCTTTTGAGTGGCTGCTAACTGTATTCGCGTGTGTTGACACTGCCGTCTGCTTTCTTGTGGTGCATGGGGGATGGTTGATCACTCAAAACAATTAACACATACCAGCCCTGGATCAGCTTTGGCTGATTGGAGAAGGCAGATGTGTGGATCTGCTCTCACATGAAGGAGCTCTGTCCTGAGATACTCCCCAGCTTTGGTGTGGGCTCTTCCTGGGTGTATCATACTGTATGTCCCCTCAGCCCGCAGCTCATCATAAGTGAGATTTCTCCCAAGCAGGGACTTGGTGAAAGCTGTTGTTGTCCCAGAGCTGGGTTTCATGTGGATTAGAAGTAGGAATTGAAGAATCAGGGAGTGGCTTAGGTTGGAAGGGAGATCTGCTTAAAGCAGCTCCAGGTAGATGAGGTTGCTGAGAGCCTTGTCCAGCTGTGTCAAATGTCTTCAGGAATGGAAACCCCACAGCTTCTTGGGGCCCCATTCCAGTGCCTGACCACCTGAAGGGTGAAAATTTCCTTCCTTATATTCAGTCAGTGTCCCATGCTCTGCCTGGTGTCCCTTGCCTCTTGTCCTAGTGCTGTGCTGGCTGAGAAGAGCCCGGCTCTGTCTTCTCTGCCCTCCTGTGGGGCAGCTGAAGACTGCAGTAAGATCTCCCCTTACCACTTCTTTGTAAGGCTAACCAAACCCAGCCCTCTCCACCTCTCCCCGTACACCCACTAATTGTTTTGGCAGCCCTAAGCTGCACTTGCTCCGGTTTGCCAATGTCCATGTCTTAGCAGGGAGCCCAAAACTGGCCACAGGTTTTCCTCCAGTAGCCTCACAAGCACTGAGAGTACCTCTGCATTCAGCAGGGACATCCTTGCAGTCAGGAGTGATAAAAGCTGGAGGAAAACCACAAGCAAGGTTTTTCTCACTCTGCTTCCTAAATTTCTCTTTAGATCCCTGAAAACTGCAGGCCCAATATGGAAGAAGGAATCTCGCTGTTCTCCACCTTACTCAACAACAGGCACTTTCTCATCGTGTTTGTCCATGCTCTCGAGCAACAGAAGGACTTTGCTGTTAGAGACAGGTATGAGCTTCAGAATCAAAGACCTGGCAGCTGGAGGAGACCGATTTATCCCTAACCTGTAAGCAATCCAGCCCGTCACTGGAGTCAGGCATTTCAGCTGAAGGTTGAGTTACGCTTGCCTCCCACTTTTCTATTAGAAACAGACGGCCATAAACCTCTGTTATTCTGAACAGCACCAAAGCTACGAGTGACTTGCTCATGAGTGTTCGTGTCCCTGAACACTTGCTTTACCAGTAAGAGGGTGTGAGCTGACCCGAGGTCCTGCAGCACTGAAAGAGGAATTGAAGTTTTAACACTGTTGAGAGGACTCATGAAAATTGTCTGAAATACTGCCTTTGTGTTTTGGGTGGTTTTTTATGCCAGTTGGCAGTTTAGTCTTGTTGCGCTGGTGCTTGAGTCACACACAATTCTGTGTTTCAGATGTAACCTGGCCTCCCTGCTTACTATTGCCTTGCATGGGAAACTGGAGTATTACACCAGCATCATGAAGGACCTCTTGGTGGATCTAATAGATGCTTCAGCTTCCAAAAACCCCAAGCTGATGCTGAGGAGAACAGAATCTGTGGTGGAGAAGATGCTCACCAACTGGATGTCCATCTGCATGTACAGCTATCTCAGAGTAAGACAACCAGGTCACCACTGCTGTGGGTGCGAGCTCAGCACTGCTGAACACACGAGGGGTGTGTGGGACAGCAGAGGACCTGCCAACATTGCCACTGGAACAGTCACTCGTGGTTGACAGACTCCAGAGAATTGAAAGGCTCGAGTGTGGAAAAGCAACCTTAAGTTCAGTTGTTTTTCCACGTCTGCCTGGGGATTTGGTGGGATCAGACTCCGCGGTGGGCCTTTCCTAAGGCCAGGGCACGAGCTAACGTTTTCACTATGCTTGAGAAGAGAGCTGCAGGGGAGTTGAAAAATAACCAGAATGGCTTGAGGTTTTGGAAACCGCTCCAGTTATTTGTTGTTTTCTCTGACCAGCTCATGCAGCCAGCTCAGCATTGTCTGTCTGGAGCAGGAGACCCCGGCTGCCGGGAGCGATGGTGGCGCCGGGGCCGGGGGCTGCTCCTGCACGGTGCCTGGTGGCATGTGGGGCGTCTCGTGTGGGGGCCATCCTTGTGGCTCCACACTGGCCAGGCAGATCTCAGGAGACGGGGGATGCCTGTCCCAGAAGCCCGACTGTCTTCCGATGGTAACAAAAAGGAATATATTTGGCATCCCGGAGTACATCAGCAGTCCATCTGCTCAGTGCTTTATCTCCAACGTTTGCCAGTTCTGGTAGGAATTTCCCAGAAGAATTGAGCAATAACTTAATTGATTCCATGGCAGTTAATTGGAGGACACCCCATTATACCCACAGGGGAGAGCCTTGAAAAAGCCTTTGAAAAATCTCTTTTCCCAAAGCGTTTGCTATTGCTATAGCCACAAAGCAATACCGTATTGTCCTCATACATATCGTAATGTCTTCTGGTCCTAGCTGATGACCACTTTTTGTCCTAAAGCCTATGGTTTTGTAGTTCATAATCTTTAATTTTAGCTCGAGTAGTTAGCCAGTACATTGAAAGAAAAGTTACAGGAGGGAGTTAGGATGTCTGTGCTGATGCAGCTTGACTACCAGCCTGTAAGAGCAGAAAAGAGTGAATTTGTGAAAATTTTTTTTTAAGCTTCATTTTTTTGTGCCTGTAGTTAAACCATTGGAGGAAAAAAGTGCTGATGGCTCCTTTTGGAGAGTGGAGACCACATGTGAGGCATCTGATCCAACTCCAGTTTGTGCTAAAAATGGACATTGTGCAAGAAGGCTTTCTCAGGGAAAAAAAAAAAAAGAGGGAAGAAAGTAGAGTCTTATCACGCGGGCCTGAAGAGTTGGGCACGTTACACGTTGGGCAGCTAATTAATAGTGAGGATCTCGGGGTGACGGCCCGCTGCCCTCTCCTGAGGCACCTGACAGGTTCGGCCAGGGTCTGTGTGGGGCCAGTGGCCATCCCATGGCTGGGGCGGCGTGGATGATGCTGGCGTGGGCTGTGGGCTGGCTCTCCTGTGCCGTGGGGCCCTGGCCCGTCCCGCGGAGGGAGGATAAGGGACTTGGTACAGATGGGAGTGGGTCTGTGGGGCGGTGGTGGCCCTTTGCAGAGCTGATGGGCCACCAGCTGAACCTGCATTTCCATCCTCCTGGGGATGGGTCCTCAGCAGGGGCTGATGGTGCACAGTGGGTTTGCAGCCCCCTCCTCGCTTTGCGTGCTGTGGCAGCGCAGACCATCGCGGCACTCTGTACCGCAGCCTATCTCCCACTTCTTAAAAGCAATTGGTTTCCATACTAGAGTGCATTGAAGGGTTGATTTCCAAGAGACTTTCCCATCACACATGCTCCACAGTGAAGGTGGGGGACCTGGTCAGAGGAGAAGCTGTGCTGCCTGCTGAAGTACGGAGGAGAATTGATGAGACAGAAATGTCCAGAGAGGCCTTTGGCTGTGGCAGGCAGGGACGGGCTGAGCTGTGCAAAGGGACGGGGGGGTCTCGGTCCGGTCCCCACCACACAAATGAGCAGGGAGCCACTGCTGTCCAACGGACGGCACCTCTTCACGCTGGGGCTGGTTTCAGCTCAGGGCTGTGATGTAAATACTAGCGGTAGTCAAATGTCTCCCATGTGCCTTGCGTTCCTCTGGATCAAACTCTGTTGCCTTCAGAGAGGCATTTCTTAGTTAAAAAAAGAGGCTGCCCGGCTGCCTGTAGCACCGGTCTGTCAGACGTGTGACGATGGGTCTGGTTTTCATTCCTGAATTATCCCCATTAATCACAACGTCTATTCGAAACAGCTGCTGCAAAGGTCCCTGCCGTTGTGCAGTGGAAAAATTCCAAGTGCTTGTATTTTCCCTTGTAAGTCAACGCTACATGCTCAAAACATTTGTTTCGTATTAATGCTCTGCCTAACAGTCCGTCCATTTGTGTTTTGGGGGAAAATGATTTGAAGGAGCTGTCTTCAGCTGGGAAGGGGCTGCAGGCCACAGTCACCCGTGGTCTGAACATGTGGAGGGCACCTGAAGGCAGTGGAGCCACCGCTCTGCTGGGGAGCTTGGGTGGGTGTGTGCAGGACATGCGATGCAGAACTAGCAGGAGGCTTGTGGCTCGGGACTGGATTCAGAGGAAACTTTGCAGCATTTGCACAATCGATGCAGACTTCTGTTTCTGCAGAACTGAGTGAGAACTGTAGATAAAATGGTCTGTGTCTCTATTTTCTGCTACTGCTTTGGTGGAAAATGCTGCAAAAAAAGCCTTCCCCATGAGACACCGTGGTACCATTGTGCCTGGCTCCTAACAGGATCAGGGGACCAGGAGTTAAAGGAAAATTGAGGTCCTGGAATTCAGCTTTTAGGTCTGGGTCCAAGCTCCCCAAAGTTTTGCATGTGGGATGGCACTGAGGTTTGGTTCTTCACAGAATGCAAATAGATAATCATCCCAAAATTAGCAGGCACTTGGGATAAGCAGCTGTTTTCTGTGCTTTTCCCACCCTAGCCTCACCAAGACGTTTTGGAAATGGCTGTAACGTGTTCCTGGGAGGACATCTCTAATGACTTGTCAGCCTTGTTAATAGGGCAGCAACATGTGAATCCAGTCTGTGCTCTAAACCCTTCTTTTTTTTCCCAAGCATATAAAACCCAAGCCCTCCCACGCTCATCGTGCGTGAAACAGTTCAAGTAATGCCAGCCTGAGCTGTGCTTTCCATTACTGCAAAGTTATTTCAGTGCCCTGGGTAGCTTTAAGAGCCCGTAACAGTTCAGTCAAAAATGAAAATGAAGTCTCATTAAAATACATTCACAATAGGAGGAAAAAGGCCCCAGACTGTGTTTTTTTAAGTACTTTTTTGTCCTGAATCAGCACTGATCTCTTCTAGTTAAACTTCCTTTCTCCCAACTAGCCAAGTCCAAAGACAGTTTTGATTCATTTCCAGATGAGTTTTCCGAACAGCGCTTGAGGTTTCCAAGTTTGCCATTTTATCTCTAGTCCCTGCCTGCCAGCCCTTCTTTCCCCTCTTTGAAATTTGCTGTCTGATTAGCACTTTTGCAGATTTCCATAACATCCCACAGTTCCTGAGCCTGAAAGCCAAAACAGAAATAGTATCTCACTGTTGGAGGGCTGTCGCTCTCTCCCGTGCGGCCGGTCCCGCTCAGACACGCTGCAGCGAGTCCTGAGCCCTCCTCTGCTTCCAGCCGCTTCACCCTGTGGGAAGGGACTGCACGGGCAGCCCCGACCCCTGCAGCCTCTGCTGGGTTCAAGCCGTAAAGAGCTCCTGCATCAGCAGGACTTGCACTTTTTTAATGTTTTTGGAGGCAGCCGCGTAGCCGTTGGCAGCCCCTCGCGTCTCTCTGTGGCCAGAGCTGTGGCCAGAGCTTCCCACGGGGAACACGGGGCAGGCTCCAGGCCCCAGCACTGATGTTGGCCTTGGGATTGTCCCCGCGGCACAAACAGTGTTCCTCTTCCTAGCCCTAAGGATCAGGATCTGTCGGCACTTTTGTAGTGTTGGCTTGGCTCCTCTGTTCACAGTGTGGGGATGGCAGGTACCACAGCCTGGGGATGTCCCCAGGTCGGTGTCAGCCCCTTGCTTGTTATCTCTTCATACTCCTGCCTTTCTCAGAAACTAGCTCTTCTTTGTGTCTTCTGACACTTTCACCACTCTGTTCACGATCCTCAACTTCTCCGCATCCCCATGTCTTTGCTTTCTGGAAGTCGTGCCTTCCTCCCCTGCTGCCGAGCCCGTCTCAGGCTGCGTGCTCAGACGGAGCATTGCAGGAGTCACTGCACCCCGGCAGAAGGCCCAAGGAGCGTCCCTGTGTTCGTAAAACGGTTGCCCTCAGAAAATGGAGCGGGTACACCATTGGCACAGATGGTGCGTGCCCACCTACAGCCCTGCTGCAGTGTCTTATCCTCAATCCCGCCGAATGCAGCCCAATCAAAACTGACATCAAACTAATTGCTTTAGCAATTATAGGGCAATTAGAATAAAAGAATCACCAAGTCTTAATTAAGAAGCAGATTGAACAGGATTTAGCAGCTCCTAGCTGAGAAATATCAAAATCGTTCGATATCTGTTGTCTTGAGCAGGATTTCAGATGGCAGGAATGTTTGTGCGGGGTGTGTGAGATGCTCAGAACGTACATAAATGTGCAATAATTTGCACTTGCCTCATTGGAAGGAAATTGCACATGAACATTAGGGAGAATGGGATGTACTCCAGTACTGAAAAGTTCCTTAAGAAAATAGCTAATGTTTTACTTGCACATCAGCGTAGCAGGCAGAAGTGGATCAGAAATTTGGCATTAAACCATGTAGCTGAACCGCATCACAAATAGCCGGTCCCTGTTATGTATTTTGTTTTCATTGCAGCAGTGTCACAATTCACCTCTCTCCTGTAGGGCGAAGTTTGATGAATGTAAGGAGTTAAATGGTGTGTTTGCTTGCTGTCGCATGGGAACAGCTTGTTGACCCTGATCCTCTCTGTTTTGCTGTGATCGGGGCTCTGCTGTGGTATGAGAAGTATGAACACCAGTTCCCAGAGCCACAGGCACATGCCCTGGGCTCAGTTCCATGGATCCCAATGGCAAACCAGGCAGCGCAAAGAGGGGTTCGGTCGATACCTTCACGCGAAAGCTGGGCAGCCACATATCTCTGCAGACCTGGATTTTTGTGCATGTCAGCCCCGTCCTTGTCCCACTGAGTGCAGTCTGCGCACTGTCAGATTGCAAGAAACGTCTCTGCACTGGAGTATGCCAGATTCTCCCTGAAGTTCATGTGTAATTTCACATGTAAATTAATGCACATTTGTGTTTTGCTGAGCCTCATGCGTGCACGTCCCCACTCAGCACAGCTATGCATATGCCCCTGCCTCCTGAGCAGCACCCAGCGCTCTGCCCGTGAGACAGCAAACACTGGCACCGCCGGCTGGTGGCAATCATGGCCCCCCCGGTACTTGCTGGAGAACTTGGACGGGGTATGTTGATGCTGACAATCACAGCTCGCCCTCCCCAAAAGTTGCCCGCGGCTGTTGTCGGCTGTTATGTCCTCTTCCCCATCTGCGCTGTCACGGTGCCACAAGTCTGAAAGCTTCTGAGCAGCCTCAGAGAGATGCTGGTGGGAGTCAGGGAGGGGAATGAGGTCTCTGAGCACCCGCCGGGGGTTCGCAGTGTATGGGGTGTCCCTGTCCTGCTCCTCGATGAGCAGAGGCACTGTCAGCGTCAGGCAGAGCCTGTCCCCACCACCTCGCTGGAAGGAGTTACCACCACCAGGCCTGGGGTGCTTACCTGGTCTTCTCTTCTTTGCCCAGGAGACAGTGGGAGAACCCTTCTTCCTGTTGATCTGTGCCATCAAGCAGCAGATTAACAAAGGCTCCATCGACGCCATTACGGGGAAGGCCAGGTACACCCTCAATGAGGAGTGGCTTCTGCGGGAGAACATCGAGGCAAAGCCGAGGGTGAGTACCTACCATGCGGAAGTCTGATGGGTGCGTGCCCCCGCCAGGGTTCTTTTGAAAGAGTCTGATTTGGTACCCATGCAGGTGCAATAACCATGTAAATTCTACACCTGCGCAGGCACCTTGCTGCTGCCTGAACTCACAGCTGCAGAACAGGGCTCATAATGACTATTTGTTTTCACGTCCGTCCCTTGGTGGGTCACCCAGGCAGCTCAGATTAGGGATGGAGGGAGGTAAGAAAGTTTGTTCTGCCATATTCAGAGAGTTAAAGTAGCAGATTTACCATTCCCAGCAAGAGAGCGTCTGCGGTGTTGGTGGGGAGGTGCCGGCTGTAGCCCTGGGTCCAGCGTGAGGGCTTTGCCCAGGCTGTGATGGGGATGGAGCTGAGAAGCTCTTCTGCAAAGTGCCTCCTGAGGGAAGAGGCAGAGGAGGGCTGTGCATGTGAAGGGCTCGGTTCCCTTCAGGGCCTGACACAGAATTCAGCAAACACCTTTCCAGAGCCTGGGTCAGATCCTGCTTTCAATTACCTGGCATAAATCTGGAGCAGCTTCACTGAAGACAGTAGGTTACCCTGTACGTGCATCACCGTAACTCAGAGCAGGTTCGAGCTCCACATCCTCTGCAGATTCCTGTTACCAATTGACCTGTAAATTTACAGTGCAGACGGAGCGGGGTTAGCAGCGGGGCGCAAAGTATTAGCTTTCTCGGCAGAAATGGTAACTTCATAAGTCTGAGCAGGGGAAGTGCGGCCGCTTCCTACTCTGCAAGGAGAGAAAGAAGATCATAAGCAGGGTATTTGGAGGAAGGAGAGCAACTGGAGGGTTAGTGCTTGCTCATTGCCAGTCCCCACATTGCTGGTAACTGAACCTCTGCTTTAAAGAACACCTGCATGGTATACAAGGTAAAATAACATCTTCATTTAATGCTGTGGAGAGAATTTGACTTCTCCTGTGCATTCACGTTAGTCAGACTCCGTGTCCTGATACGGAAAAGCAGTATTTGCAAAGGAACCTCTCGGCTGTGGAAATCCCAGCCATAACTCTCACGTGAACCAGGTCTCCTTCTGAGGGGCAGCTGTGCCTGTGCACAAGCAATGCCACGGTACCCGGGGCTGGCCAGCCAGGCCCTGAGATGATGAGGGGAGTCGGGCTCTTCTCTCAAGGAACATAGGACAAGAGGAAATGGCCTCAAATTGTGCCGGGAAGGTTTAGGATGGATATTAGGCAAAATTCCTTTACCAGAAAGGTTATCAAGCATTGGAAGAGGCTGCCCAGGGCAGTGGTGGAGGTATCCCAGGAAGTATTTAAAAGCCAGGCAGAAGTGGTGCTGAGGAACATGGGTCAGTGGTGCTTTCGGCAGTGTTAGGTGGATGTTTGGACTTGATGGTCTTGAAGGTCCTTTCCAACCCAAGCAATTCTATGGTTTCGTGGTATCAAGGTTGCAAACGAAGGTGCAGATTGCCCTCCGGTTCGGGCACATTGAGGAGCAGAGGACACCAGCAGAGGCAGAGCTCAGGCCGTCCCAGAGCAAAGCCCCTGGGTGGAGAGGATTTTTATGGGAGGAGAGTTGCTCGGGTTGCCCTCCAGCTTTCTGCTGTGATGCTAGCATCAGCTCTGCATCCCTAAGGTCTGCACTGGTGTTTGTGGCAGACCCCTGCGGCTGCTTGTCCCGCTGGTGGGCACACTCTCCAGCAGGTTACTGGTGGTGCTGGTGGTGGGCTCCAGGGCTGCCGCAGACCCAGCCTGAGGTGTGCTTACAGCTTGTTTAAACAGAGGAGCTGGGCCATTGCGTCAGGGAGAGGCTGAGCAATGAGCCTTGGCGGTGCCATTAGTCACTGGTGGGAGCCGAGAAGCTGAGGACGACTGGTTATGGGGGGTGACCTTTCCTCCCGCCCCTGAGGTGGTCCCTGCGCGTCAGGGCTAAGGCCCATTAGCAAGGCAGCGTGAGAGGAGGTTGCAGTGTCGCTCCCTGGCTCCATCAACAAACGGGGCCTTCAGCCTCCAGGGGCTATAAATCAGTACCTCTCACTAGTGGTGCAGCCTGGATGACCGCATCTGTTCAGTCTGATTTCCAGCAGCACGGGGCCTAGAGCACACCAGAGCTCTGCAGCCGCCTCCGTGCCTCCTCAGGAGCCGGCAGAACTGGGCAGGCCACCCCTAACTCAGCCTCTGCCTGCAGAACCTCAACGTCTCCTTCCAAGGCTGCGGGATGGACTCTCTGAGCGTCAGGGCCATGGACACAGACACGCTCAGCCAAGTGAAGGAGAAGATTCTGGAGGCCTTCTGCAAAAACGTCCCCTACTCCCAGTGGCCAAGGGTGGAAGACGTCGACCTTGGTAAGGACCAGGGGCATGGGACCAGCCAGTCCTTAAACCCAGATGAAGCACCTGGTGTTCCATAGTAGCTCTTGGTGTCAGACAGAGGGCAATGGGTGACACAGCATTGACAGCGGGCAGGCATCAGGGCAGCCTTTTCCTGAGGATGGTCTTCAGGAATGAATGCTGGGACCACATACTGGTAGGCAGGAATAAATGGGCACAAAACTGGAAAGAAGCTTGAGGAGAGACCAGGTGGCATAGAGGGATGCTTGGACTTGCACCCTTTAAAGCCTATAGCCTTAACTCCAGAACAGGTTCCCTCTAAAACCCCACTGAGCTCTGTGTTCAATGTGGTCAGTGCCAGAGGGAGTCTCCAGAAGAAGACCCTAGGCTGGAGCAGTGACAGGACCCGCTCCTCTCAGCTGGTGCAGCTGGCATGTGCCCTGTTCACAGATACACGACCAGCTCTGCCCTGTGGAGAACTGCCACCAACCTTCTGTGGCCATGTGCAGGCCACGCAGCATCTCACCTGCCTGATGCTCCACAAGGCAGGTCCCACACGGCCCTAGGGGCAAGATGGGGACAGGGGAAGGGGGAGATGCTCCTCCCCATCTCTCCCAGCAGAGCCTTTGGTACCTCTCCCAGCTCTATCCAGCTCTGCTCTAGTCTGGAAGGCCCCACTCCAGGGGTTGATCCTGGAGGCCATTGCTCTGCTCTGGTGTTGCAGAGCCCCTGTGGCCATGGCAGTGGGGCTGTGCAGCCCCCTGCACGGCGTGGCCAGTCCCCGGAGCCTCAGGCCCCCCCACACGTGCCTCCTTGGAGCCGGTGTCTCACTTTTCCTTCTCTGTGCTCAGAGTGGTTCGCCACCAGCACCGACAGCTACATCCTCCGGGACCTGGATGACACCTCGGTGGTGGAGGACGGCAGGAAGAAGCTCAACACATTAGCACATTACAAGGTAAACCTGCCACGCTGCAGGAGAGCTTTGCCTCCACGGATGCTGCCGGGCCTCAGGGGTGAGCTGCAGCTCCCCCTCCAAAAACAGGATTATCGGGAACGAGCAGGGAGGTTGCCATAGCTCCGTGAGAGCTTCCGGGGAATAGACATCTGCCCTGGCGAGAAGCTCGTTAATATTGCAACACACTGAAACTAATTAAACACTCTTCATGCAAAACAAGTTATTACTGACAACAGAAAGAGGAGGAAAAAAAGCTCCTATTCCCAACGGCCACCAGCTTGGCTGATTAGTATCACTCTGCTCTTGATCCATGCTCCTGCTGAAATCACTGGCACAATTGTTGCTGCCTGCCCCGAGAGCCGGGGCTCAGGATGCCATTGAGGAGCAGCGGCCAAAAGGGTGGGGAAATGGGGCAAATCAAATTGTTTTCTTGACCGTTTTTCCTTTTAAAATTAAATGAAACCAGAAATTCTTGTATGATTTCCATACTCCCTGGTATGCCTGGGAGCATAATCCTCACTGGTCTGTAACAGTGCATGGAAAATGAAAAACGGAGCTGAGTACCTATTAATATTATTATTTGTGTAGCAGCCGTGCTGCAGAGCCCCACTGCTGGCACGGTGCCCCGCTGCGCCGGGGGCTGGAGCCGCAGCTCAGAGAGGTGGCACCAGCCCCGCGGCTCCGGGCTGCGGCCAGGTCCCCTCTGCCCTCCCAGGGAAAGGCAGAGCAGCATCTGCACAGCAGAACACTCCTTCCCCTTCCAGTCACCTGGTGTCAACAACCAAAACTGTTCCTTGGATACATGTATTTGCCTGATTCCCACCGGATTTGAGAACCTCATTATTTTGCATTATTTTGCATTTGCATTTAAAAAACCCTTTCCATGCAGAGCAGTAGTTACTGCAGTTTTCCAAGCCGGGGAGCTGGGGCAGGGCAGGCATGGAGGATGTTTGGGGCAGAGCGGCCACTACACCAGCGTCCCCCAGTTCTCGGGATCCCCCCTTCCTGGCTCCATGGGAGGTACCGTTAGGGCTCCCGTCACCGACTCCTGCTCTTCCCTTCCTCTGCAGATCCCCGAGGGTGCGTCCCTGGCCATGAGTTTGTCGGACAAGAAGGACACCACACTGAGCAGAGGTAAGGTCTCACCTCTCTTCCCCTGTTGCCGGTGACTGGGCAGAAACACCAGTGTTTTTATTGGGGTGTCTCTGGCCAGGGATGCAGGGAGCCGGTTGCCAAGCCCCTGCCTGGGCACTGGGGTGTGGTGTCAGCTGGTGCAGGGCTGGCTCTGGTGTTGCCAGCACTCACAGAGCACCCTGTTGTACTGGCCTGTTGGGCAGAGCTGGGCACCAGTCGGGCCAGCTTTGTGCCTGGGAGGACACTGAGTGTGGTCTGGAACTGCCACCGCAGCGGGAGGAGAGCTGAGCTGGCCAGCCCAGGATGCACTCAGGAAGCCTTCGGGGTCCTGCAGGGTCTCCACTGCACTCCTGCAAACCCCCTTCGCCCACGCTGTGGTGTATGTGTGGAGAAGTGAAGAAGGTCTGGGAAGTGTGCACGTCTGTTGTACACACTGTGGGAGATGCAAGTGCCATGCTTGTGTTTTTGCTTTAAAAATGTGTTATTCAGTGTTCTTCTCTCTCTGCTTGCTGAGTGCTTTCTAAGCCCACAAGATAGAGGGCACATTCCATCTAACATCCTCGTTAGGGGTTTGCATTCAATCCGTGCTAACAACGTGAAAAAAAGGAAGGATCTGAAACCACTTGAGAAAAGCCCTTTCCCTCCCAATTACACATGTTCAGTTTCTTGCCAGCGTATTTCTAGGTTTCAGGCTGTGCCTTCTGGGAGACCTCAAGTCGTCCTGAAGTACTTGCCATGTGCCCCAGAAGGCAAAAAACAACCCCAAAACAGATTAAAATGCTGAGGTCCCTTGGGGTGGGAATGCCAGCTCAGGGCTTTCCCCAGCGAACGCCTCCTGCCATGGAGGGCGTCTGCAGAGGCGGGTTGCGGTGTGGGTCCTCCTCTGAGCCGCTGTGTCTCTCTCTTCTTCACAGTGAAGGATTTGGACACTGAGAAGTACTTCCACTTGGTAAGTGCCCTGCTCTGGCTGCGTGGTGGGGAGCGGGGGGCGGCTCTCCCCTCTGCCTCCCCAGGGAAATGCTGCTGGGCACTGGGCCCTGGCTCCAGGACGTGGCACTGGCATGCGAGGGGACGGGTCGCAGCAGCAGCTCCACTCCCCCAGCAGCAGCCGTGCTGGGGCAGATCCTGGGCTGTGGTGACCCCTCAGCCAGGCAGGGGGCCAGGCTGTCCTCTGGGTCTCGGGGAGACGTCCCCCCAAAAGGCAGCAGCCTGGAAAGCACTGGGAGCAAAGAGGTGACCAGTCACTCTGGGTATGTGGTGATCCCTCTTCTATCCTGTGCTGAAGTTGCTGGGTCCTGTTTTTTCAGTGCATGTGATGAAAGAGGAGAAAATCTTCTCAGCCTTGCTGATATTAACTTAATTCATCTCCCTGGGCTGCAACGTCAGATGTGATGAACAAGCTGGATCAGGACTCGTTAGTTTTCTTCAGAGAGGCTCAGAGAGGCTCAAAGAGGTGCAGAAAGGTTATCTGTAGACAAGCTTTAGTACTATGGGACATCATAAAAAATTACCCGGTTGGGAAAGTAATTGTTGTGCCTGATCTGGCTGTCAGCGGGCACAGAGAGGGGGGAGCAGCACCGCTGGTAGCACCCGCACAGCCTTGGTCAGGTCACCCACCAGGAGCACCTGGCACATCGCCCGCTCCCAGGGCCCGGAGATTTATTAGTTCCTGCTTGTGTGCCACGCTGGGAGTACGAAGTGCTAAACATGGCTAAAAGCTGTTACGAGAAAAAGTGTTATGGACAACACAATATTTTACAGCCTCTTATTTTTTTCTCTGCTAAAGTTTCCATGCTCGAGTAGAGTACAAACACCCAGTGCGCGCACACATGCACATGTACATACAGAGCAAGGAGGGAGAAGGGATGGGAAAGCGAATGTGCACATGTGAAACAGTGCCAAGATGGACTTAAATGGCTTGCTAGGTCATTATAGAACAGGAATTAACTGACCTGACCACTGGAATATTTATTTTTGCTTTTAAAAAGGCCAGGGTAGGAATATTGGCTGATCGTTCTTGCACTTTTTCCAAATCTATGAAAAGCCGCTTTCTGCAGAAGCCTCGTGCGTTGCTTCTGGGGACCTAAATTGCAGCCGCAGGCACACAGCAGCGGGAGCAGGAGGGCAAGCAGAGTAACATGCAAAGTGAGATGGATTGTTTCATTTTCTTTGTCTAGTTTGAGAGAGGCAATAAAGAGCACTAGAGAAACAAATGTCAGGAAAACCCAGTATTATGATCGCTTCTTTAAAGCCATATAAGGGTGTATTTATAACATAGTAACTACTTTTTAATTGAATTTTGTGTGCAGTTGAAATTCTATACTTAAAGGGAAATTCAGCGTGACACTCCCAGAGAGGAGCGCTCTGAACATGTGTTTTATATCGGCCCAGGTTCTCCCAACTGATGAATCAGTTGAACATAAGAAGTCCCACAGACAGAGCCATAGGAAGAAGGTCCTGCCAGAGATCTACCTGACCAGGCTGCTCTCCACAAAGGTAGGGCAGGAGAGGTGGGGTGGTTGGTGGTCTGTAGGGAGAAGCCCGCTTGAGGGAAGGAGCGTGGTGGGGCCGTCTGCCCTTCGAGGGGTGGTAAGGCTCCCATCCTGGGCGGCTGTAGCACATGGAGCCAGGCTGCCAGGCACCACCACCTCCCTGGGATCCCTCCAGCTTTCCAGCTCCCCCTCAGAGCAGCAGCGTGGCTGTGTGAAGCCCCACACCATCTCCCCGGGCTGCCCTGGGTCTGTGCACACCAAAGGGATGCCAGCTGCTGCGGGGCTTGTGGTGCACAGTTAGACCTGAACCCATCTCCCTGGCGAGAGGTCCTGCTGGGAGTGGAGATGGAGATGCTCAGCTCTGGGAGCAGGGGGGAATGTCTGCACGGTCTTAATTCAGATTTGAACTTCCCCACTCTCTGCCAGTGCTCAGCTCCAGCAGTTGGGCTCCAAGCCCATCTTTAATCCCAGCATGATGCCTCACTGGAGCAGAGATCACAAGAATGGCCAGCAGTCTCTAGTCTTCTTTGTATTCGCTGTACAGAACAATCACAGATGTGAGATCCTAGCAGTAAGAAAATTCTGATGCCAAAAGAAATTAAACCCAAATGCAAGCTAATTATATCGCTATGCACAAACAAACCTTTCCCTCCCTGCTTCGGCGTCCTCTTTCTCTTCTGACTTATCCAACTGGCAGCAAAGGATTTCCCCTTGTGCACGGCAGTCACAGCCCCTCTCGCAGTGTTCCTGGGCTCAGGGGTTGCTGCTGTCCCCAGTCCCCACCGTGTGCCTTGTCCCGCAGGGCACGCTGCAGAAGTTCCTGGATGACTTGTTCAAAGCCATTCTCAGCATCCGAGATGATAAACCACCTGTGGCCGTGAAGTATTTCTTTGACTTCCTGGAGGAGCAAGCAGAGAAAAGAGGGATCACAGACCCTGACACTATGCACATCTGGAAGACCAACAGGTTTGGAAGAGGAAATGGCTTCTTTCTTTCCTTCCTTCCATCTCTCAGGAGCAGCAGCTGAAAAGCCTTGGTGTCCTGGACTAATCATTAGGTTGCTAAAAGTAGAAGAGGAACTTGGAAGACAGGAGGGGTGGTGGAGGGAGGTGGGGGGGGCAAAAGACGAGGCCAAACACAGGCTTGGAGAGCTTTGAACAAACACAGAGCTCAGGGGAACGGCGAGCTGGAAGGGGAGGCGTAGGCAGATAAAGGGCAGATGGAACTGGCACACAAATACAAATAATTACAGGAGAAACAGAAGAGGAACGGGACAACAGGAGATAGCAATGGTGTTAGCTCCAAGTGCTGGAGATCTGAAACAGAGTCCAAAATCATGTCAGGTCTTAAAACATCATAGAGATTTTAAAACCTGCACATTTGGCTCCTGTTCAATTGCTTTCTGGCTTTTCAGCCCTCGGGGGCACTTTTCCCAACTTATCTCTGTAATCAAGCTGAGACTCCGGGGCGTTCTCAGGGCTCAGGAGCTGGTGCTGTGGCAGGGGTGTGCTCCGGGGACCCACCGGGGCGGCGCGGAGGGACGATGAGCGGCAGGAACGGGGTGCAGGAGCCAAAGGGAAGGGGGGAAACAGAGCAAGGGAGAAACCAGAAAATTTAACCAGGGAGAGCAAGAGCCTGGAGGAGAGGCTCAATGCTTCTGAAGCTGCAGGAACAGTAACTGTTTCCAGCCCAACATGTGAAAATTAAAACCAAATTTGGCAGGGGTAGCAGGCATGCAGACACAGCCACTGAGCTGCAGATTTGCCCACCTTTCGTTGCCTGTAATTGCCAGTAGAGCAAAGGCTTACAGCTTTCACTTCTTGGCTATTGACAATGGAAGGGCGAGCGATATACTGAAACGGTGTTCTGGCCAAATGAGCAGAGAAATAACTGTAGGAGAAAATGATGAGAGAGCAGGAAAAAAGACACATGAAATGCATTTCACGGGGCCAGGCTTACCATCAGAACCAGATGATGGTTACTGTCGGGGAAGAAGGAAAAGGAGCTGACACCATTGCTGCAGAAATCAGCAAGTGGGGAAGCTTGATTCCACAGCCCCATGCTGGCAAATCCTCCAGTGCCTCTGCTGGCCCATGGTGGCCCAAGGGGCTGCTGAAGGAGCCAGGGCATGCACTCACCTGGACAAGGCTGTACGTGACGTCTCCTGTCCATGCTACATCCTGAAGAAATGTCTCTTCAGGGTGAAGATGTGCCTCTGCACCTCGAGCTGGGCAGAGGGCCCTACGCTGCTTAGATGTGATTAAATAGCAGAACCCAGCTCCTCCTTTTATTCCTCTCTACTATTCACTTTCTACCACTATCTCTCCTGCATTTCTTCCCCTCTCCCTCTGGAGTACAAAAATTCACCCGGTGTGTGTTCCTGGCTCCTTTCCTCCGCAGCCTACCTCTGAGGTTTTGGGTCAACATCCTGAAGAACCCCCAGTTCGTCTTCGACATTGACAAGACGGACCACATCGACGCCTGTCTCTCTGTGATCGCCCAGGCCTTCATTGACGCCTGCTCCCTGTCTGACCTGCAGCTGGGCAAGGTACCCTCCAGGGGACATCTGGCTGCTGCTGGGGCTGGCACGCGGGTGGGAAGGGACTGTCGGAGGTCACCCAGTACAGACCCCCAGCAGCAGGGCCGGCTGGGTGCTCAGGTTCAGGCCAATGAGTGTTGGCGGTCTCTGGGGATGAGGGCTCCCCTTCCCTTCCCCGCCGCTTTGTTCAGGCTTGAGCTTTAAATTTGTACCCCCTGTGTCACAAACAGTGGTCAGGGAGTGGGAACACAGGGTCACAGGATGGACAAAGGGCAAAGCCCCAGCCTGAAAGGCTCGGAGGATGGAGGGAAACCCGGCTGCTAGCTTGTGCTCGGTGATACTCAGTGGCCACAGGAGTTGTCCCGTGGTCCCAGCGGCCCCGTGGCACCCAGTGCCTGGAGTGCTTCCTCATGGAGCTGTGCTGGGGTGTGAGCAGATGAATACTCTGTTTTTAGCTCAGGCAGGGTATTACCCTATCAAGAGGAGCATGGTGGGTGTCAGCTCTGCTTGGGGCACAGGCAGGCTCAGCATGGGAGCCCAGCTCAGTCAGTCAGGGCCGGTTTAGGGGACATCATTGGCATAACGGTCCTGTAAGAACAGCTGGGGGACAATGTGAACGCCCAGTGGCAGGATGGAAGAGGCTGTAGCTTCAGGTGAAGCTTTACTCACCACTGCCAGTGGTTTCTGCATGGCGTCTCACCTGGAGGAGCTGTGAGAAGCTCAGGCAGCGAGGTGAGCTTTCGGGGATACAGCCTGGCCATGGGGAGGTGTGGGGACACCCCTTGGCACCGTCCCTCAGCACGTGGGACGCGCTTGGTGGGCAGTGCCACAGCCCTGCCTGTGAAGCACGTGGTGCTCCCCTCGGGTGGCACATCACTCACTGGCCACCTCGGGCGTGCGGTGGGAGCCCAGTGGGCTCAGCACACCCACCGAGGGGGCTCAGCCTGCTCCGAGCACCACAGGGTCCCCTCTCCCACTCCATCCCGCGGGGCTGGCAGCGGCAAGGCGGCCCGTGAGCATGGCTCCTCTCTCCCACCAGCTTGGCTGAGCACAGTGATGACATCTGAAACTTCCCGACATAAATAAGTTTTATTAAGAAGTGCTGTAAATCGTCCCCCCCCTCGCCCCGGGGGCTGGCGGCGGCACAGAGTGTGACGTGGAGGGGACCCTACGGAGCGCGGGGCGGGAGCCGGGCGCAGAGCAACAGGAAGCCCTCACTGGGAGAGGTTAATGCTGGAGGAAGATCTAATGAGCACTTGATTTTTTGTTTGTTTGGGTTTTGGGTCTTTTTTTTTGCATGCATTACGAAACACCTACAATTTGTCCTTGTCAAGCTGTGGGTGAGGGGAAGAGGGGTCAGCTGGAGTCAGACAGCAGATGGAAACGTTTTTCAGGAATACAATAGCATAAGTGAAGGAATTGTTGAGTAATGTGGGAAGAATAAATCCTCAGCATAAAAATCAGCTTGCATATAGGGGCAGTGTATCGCTGAATGTTTTCCAGGCTGGGTTCTTCCCCTGGTTTCCGCACGTTGCTCCTGATACTGCAACTGTGAGAGCAGACTCAGACTCCGTACATCTGCAGTGCACAAGTGGTTAATAAACCAGTGTCCATCTCTTCATAATACAGAGTGGACAAAGACACAAATTGGAAAATAACTCAAAAAAGAGTCAGCATGGGTTTCTTTTGTGTTTCTAAGGGGGAAAAAAAAATATGTTGTGAGCAGGCTTTGCAACTTGGCTATATTCCTGCAATGCCTTGTCATTGGGTTTGAAAATAAACTGCTGTGGGATCTGGTGCTGCAGCCTGGTGCCCATTTCCCCCGCAGCATTAGCCACGCTACATATTGCAGCAGCAGATTGCAGTTACCCCGGGCTTCCTTATTTACTGCCCGATCCAGCTGAAGATGCTGCCTCCACGGCAGCCCCGCTGCTTGTCTGATCCCCCTCCCCACCTGCCACAGCATTGGGGACCGGCCCCCCACTCCCGTGCCGGGGCAGTGGGACACGCTGATCTCACTCCCCTCTGTCCTTGAGGCTGGGGCTGTGTCCCTTTGGGAGGCAGCGCCAGGGCCAGTCCGCCAGGTTCACTCCCAGGGTAATGATATCAGCGGGGCAGGAGTGCCTCCAGGTTAAAATCAGTCATGCTGGTGTTTGCGAGGAGCGCAGGCAGGGTTATGCCTTCGCTGATACAACCTGATGGCATGGCTGGGGGGTTAAGACTGCTTTGTCTAAGCTGACATTAATCAAGAGAACTCAGAATTTTCTGTTAATTACTTTACATGCACTCAATATAGGCCAGGCAGGCTGGGTTAGCCAATGCAAAATAAATCAAAGCTACATGAAAAATCCAAGAGCAACATTTCAACTGACAGAGTTCAGCTTGTAAGAGAGCTTTGTTCTTCAGCTTAAATCACGCTGGCTGCTCAAGAGACCCAAGCGAACGCCTGCAGATGCTCTTCCCTTGTTACCAATTTCCACAGGCAGAGCCCCGGAGCACAAGTGTTTTATCTAACACTGTTGTGCCACACTTATCTGCAGAGCATCAGCTGGCAGCAAGCCACCCTGCCTGACCCTCTGCACGCTTTTTAGCCTGCAAATTAAAACATATTCACGTAGACCCTGGTCCCTGGCATGTTAGCTCACAGGCATTCTGCTCAGGCTGGGAAGAAGGGCAGAGGGACGGTGTGGTGGCTCCGCAGCACCTTGATGTGTCTGAGCAGGCACCTCTGCCATTAGCTGTTTTGGGCCTCGGTGCCACGTTCCCGTCTGAGCAAAGCCAGGACCAAAGATGTAGCTGTTTCCTGAACCCAGCTGTAGCTGGAGTCGGTGTCTGATGGTTAGCACTTCGGTCAGACAAACAGCATTAGAAGTTTTCTGCCAGGAACAACGTTGTATCTGATGCTGTTGTCTTGCCCTGGCTCTAGGACTCCCCGACCAATAAACTACTGTACGCCAAGGAGATCCCCGAGTATCGGAAGATCGTGCAGCGATACTACAAGCAGATCCATGACATGCCCCCGCTCAGCGAGCAGGAAATGAACGCCCACCTCGCAGAGGAGTCACGGGTAAGAGGGAATAGGCTGCTGTGGGCAGAGGGGGGCTCGGCTGGCGCACACCCCCTGATGGGGACGGGCTTGGTGCCCTGCCGGGGTGAGAAACACTGAGCCACTCTGCTCTGGCTGATGGCAGGGCTCAGGGGTGGCAGGGAATGCAGATAGGCTGCAATCGGCGGCTGTTTCCATGCTGGAAGGAGCAAACAGAAAGGATATTTTGCTTCAAACTTCCAGGCACAAACTTGATCTGACCTAATTCCAAGCATCTTCCATTACTGCTGGAGCTGCAGTAAACACCCACGAGTTAGCTTGAACCTAACGAGCTCTGGCACCACTGGGAGCTGAAAGCGGAATTCAGTGCCAAAGAGCCAGGAAGTTTGGAAAAGGCTCTCTGCAGTCCCTGGCCAGCTGGCCCCCGGGCTCCCTCTGCCAGCGCCGGCCCCAGGTCCCCGGCAGCTGGCCTGGGAGCAGGATGCTGGCCCTGGTACCGGCTACGGGAGCTGGCAGCCACACTCCACATCCGAGTCCTGCCAGCGATGCGCCGCAGCTTCCTCGGCATCAAACCATCTCAGTGCAGCGGGGCAGCGCTTCATCACCAGCCACCGAGCGGGCACTTCCATCGCCTTCCTCTGCCCAGCTCTTGTGCTGCCCCAGCCTCTGAAATAGCTTTGAGTGCCGAAGGGTAAAAAAGGCAGTGTGTGGGCATGTCAGGCTGGCTTTAGAAAGGCTGGGACCGTTTCCGATGTACGCAAATACACCTTCCTGAAAGGAGGGACTCAAAAGCCTGGCTGCATCAACACAACAGTAATGACAATACCCAGGCAAAAACCACCTTTTAATCTAGTTAATAATGCCTGCTGATTGGGCTTGAACTCACTTGCTGCATCATGTTAATATTCCTTCCCTCTCTGTTCTGTATTTATAAAGAAATACCGGAACGAATTCAACACCAATGTCGCCATGGCTGAGATATACAAATACGCCAAGAGATACCGCTCCCAGGTAAGTGGCTGAGCTGTGCTCCGGCCTCAGCGTACCTGCGGAGGGACCCACGAGTGGTGTGTTGTAGCCAAGCAGACACCCACATCCAGTCCCACAGAAAAGGGATTATAATTTTTTTGCATAATCCCACGCACATATGTAATATGTGCACACAGAGATGCACCTGCTCTCCTCTCCCTTGGCTCACGACTTGGAAGAGGCGGCCAGTTATTCCTGGCTGGGTTTAGCAGTGTTTGGCTGGGCAGGACCAAAGCAGGGCTGCCCAGCGTGTAGACCCAGAGATGCTTTCAGGAGGGCAAAGCTGATCCAGTCCACAGCCAAAATAACCTGCCACCCGCTGCCCCCAGCCCTGGCTGGCTCCTGTCCCCTGCCCTCTCTTGCCATGGGCTACCTCTGCGCCATGAGCTGGTTTGTGGTTGCATTCCCCTCCTCTCCCACCCCCTGCCCAGGGACTCAGTGGGTGCCAGGGCACGTGAGCACAGGGTGGGCTCCCCTGGCACAGGTCCAGCTGGCATTAGGACTCAGCAGGGGTACACCTCAACCCAGCACTGCCTCTGTCACCCACCGCCCATGTCTCCTGCAGATCGTGGCCGCCCTGGACGCCAACCCCACCACAAAGCGCACCCAGCTCCAGCACAAGTTTGACCAAGTGATTGCACTCATGGAGGACAACATCTACGAGTGCTGCAGTGAAGCCTAGGCCGACTGCAGCCCTGGGAGTGACTTTCTCCACAGCGCAGTGCCATTGGGAACCCGCCTTCAGCCGTGGATCGCCTCTGCCAGGACCATTCTCAAGCCAGCCTCGTTGGGGGGTGGGCCTGGCCCATGGCTTAAGACCTCCCTCTCCTAACAAGAAGCCACGAGACACCTTTCTGAGCAGCTCAAAACCTCTCTGGTCTGCGCTGTGGCACCCATAATTTATTTGCTGTTGCCAGCCAGGAATGGAGACATGACGTTTGTGGCAGGCTCAGTTCACTACTTCCCTCTGATCAGCGCCCGGTGGCTCCCCGCATCCCTGTTTGTGGTTCCTTGGGATGAGCGAGGGGGCCGCAGGAGCTGTAAGAATAGACACAAGGCAGAAGGGTAGCCTCAGGGAGTAACTCGTGGAGACGGCAAAGGCCATCAGAGCAACGCCTGAGCTCCCTTCCACACCATCCTTCTGACATCTTGTTTTTCCAACACCCCAGACTCTATCAACTGTTCACTCTCTGCTGCATTTTGTGTATTTTTGTGCCTTTTAATTTTTGTACTGTATGTGTAAACATAACCACTCCTCCATCTGAGACTTGGGCAACATGGGGAACTGGGGGCTGAGATGAGGCGGTTGCTTTCCAAGTGGCTAAGGCATGGTGAGAGCACTTTATCCCCTGAGGGAGCGTGTTAAGGTGTTAAAAGGTGGAGGGAGGGCTGCTCCCCCTCCCCAGGTTCCCAGCTCTTCGTGCAGGATGAGCTGCAGTTGCAGCGTGTGGGTGAACACCCCCTCACAGCCCACCTTTCAGCCCGCTGCCGCAGGCATGGCCTCTGCCCAGGCGCAGGAGCCCAGGGGCAGTGGACACAGGGCAGGACGTCTGCCTGGCACCCCAGTCTCCCTGCGCACCCACGGCACGGCCCCAGTGATGCCAGCAGGGGTGGGGTCCTGCTGACAGCCCCCCGACAGAGCGCCTTGAGCCACGTGCAGGGCCAAACACTGGGTAGCATCCTCCCTCCCTCTGCCCCACATGCTCCAGCATCTCCCCAGTACCACCACCGAAAACAAGGTCAGTGTGACAGAGGTGTCTTCCTAAAGTAGCTTGTTCTGCTTGTGTTGGACCCAGCCTGCCATGGTTGTCACCTGAGAGCAACCAGGAGAGCGACGTTTTGCTGCGTGTCCAGTCTCTTTTTTGGCTGTAAAGGCGAAGGGCTGGACGCCACGGCCCTGGCAGCACGAGGCTCCCACAGCCCAGCAGAGCGGCTCCGGCACCCCAGGCTGCAGACAGAGGCAGAAAGTGTCCCTTACGCTGGGGTCAGCAAGCAGGGACTCGCTGCCCAGACCTAGAAACTTCACTGCCAGCCCGTGGCATCGACTCTGGGGCAAGCCCCCTGTCCCAGCTTGGTGGCCCATTCTCCTTCCTGTCGACACTTTCGTCCTCTGTGCAGCCAGGGGGGCTGTGACTGATGCACCACCCGGGCCCCTCTGTAGAGGCTGGACCACCGGCAGGGCCACGTGCCCAAAGCCAGCGCTCACACACAGGCAGACAGCCTGCCCCTGAAAGCTAAACCCAGCCGTAGCCACCGTGTTTCCAAACTGCCAAATAGAAAAGGAAAAAAAAAAAAAGAGAAAAAGAAAAAAAGTTACTACCTCACTCCAGGCAGGGTGTAAGGTGAGCCTCCGCTACTCATCCAGCTGGCAAGGATGCAACCTGATTTTACATGACTTCGGTCCACCAGAACTCCTCCTGGGTGACTCACTGCCATGGAGAGGTGGCCTCCATCCCATCATTTCCAGTAATGCCACATTTGTCAGAAGTTGGAACATCAGAATCGTGTATGTGTATATAGATATCTATTTTAAAACAAATGATAGACAAATGATAGACTTTATCCAGTATGTTAAAGGGGGGAGGGGGAGGGAAGGGGAAGAACAGAGGTGTTTGTTTTTTTTTTTAAAAAATGGAACTACAGAAAAAGTACATACACTGTGGAGGTTTCAATGTCTTTGCTGAGGATGTGGCTTGAGAATAGAAACTCTAAGAATGTAGCTGGGCTACATTTTATTTTGAAAGTGATTTCACAAAAAAAAAAAAGAATCTTGAATTTTTTTTTTCTTTTAGAAACTGTGAATAGCTGCCAGAGATATAGGCAGGCCCAGCACAGGGAAGGCAAGGGTGAGAAGGACCAAGGTAGCAGAGAACGTAGAGCTTGGCTGCAGGTGGGGAAAGAGCCATGGAGCAAGAGCCCCATGTCGTTACAAGGAAGGGATACAGGTGAGCTGATTGTGTAGTTTGCCTCCAGGTGATGTGTCTGGGCCATATATTGGGGCCTATTGCTTTATTATTTAATTTTTTCCAAAGCAAAAAAAAAAAAAAAAAAGTAGTTGCTACAACCATTTTAAAGGAACAACTTCAATGGAGCAGAAGCTTGAGGGTTTGTAGTGTTGCCTTGAACCCCCGAGCCCTTTGTAACATGTTTTTAAACTTTGGCACGTGTTGTGGGTGTAGTGCCCTTACCTGCTGTGTAGTGGAAGTGGCAGACTCTTGGAAAAGCCTATCTTTGTAATAAAACAAGGTGCTGAAACCTGCTTAGTGAGTTTCCTGCCCCTGTGCACCCAGAGGACACACAACATGGTGGAAGACACCCATGGCCACCCAGGCAGTGGGGCTGCTGTCCCTACCCCAGGATCGGGTGCCTCTCCTCCCATGGCCACCGCACTCACCCAGCCCAGAGGCACGAGGAGGGCAGCGGCTCACGGGGATGCACTGTGAGCTTTGTCTGTATGAGACACACCATGCTCAGGGCTGGCACCTCGGCTCAAAACCACCTTGTTTCCACACGAGATGGGTTTCACCCCTCTGTGCTGCAGAGCCCAGATTTTCTGCAGGCTACACACCACTCCTGCTACCCATGACCGTGGCCCCTGCCAGAGCAGGCACTGATGCAGGAGGGAAAAGAGCTGTTTGAGGACATACCACGTGTCTGTACTGGCCACACAAGGACTGGTGAGGTGACAGCAAAGCCCAGGGCCAGGCACCTCTGCCAGGTGCCATCAGCCCATGGGACAGTGTCTTCCAGCCCTGGCTCTGCATCACTGCTGCCACCAGCCCTCAAGACTTCTGGCTTCAGTGCTGTGACACCCACACAGCCCATAGTTCTTAATAACCATGGCATTGCTAAATCCTCTCTCTTCCACCTCCCCCCACAAAAGCTGCTCTTTCTAGACACCCAAGGGATTTTCTTTCCCTACTAGGAAGTTGATTCTCAGTAAAACTAAATCCAGCCATTAAATAATTTGGCCTCTCTCAAAGTGAGAGCCTCATGTTTCACACTGGCTGCCTGGAGAGAGAGGACACAGCTCCTGCCCAGTGCTGCTATGGGACATTTCCACGGGAGAGAGCAGTGGGCTGAGGCTGACCATCATCAAAGGGCCAGAGGAGCACTGCTTAGTTATTACTGTGGCATCCCCCCACCCTGCCCCTGGGGGGACATGAGTTTCAGCTCCATTAAAGATGGATCAACATGGCCAAGGCTGAAGTTTAAAGCAACATTAGTTTGCTCAGCTCTTGCTTAAGCCCCAAAGCAAGGCCAGGAGCCTTGGAGGGCATTGGCAAGGCCAGCTGAAGATTAGCAAAATCCTCTTTAGGAAGAGAGTTTTACTTCCACTTATTTTCTCCTGCCCAGGAGGACTGTAACCCTTTGCATTATCAGTCTGACCTTCAGAAGGGCTCTGTCCTGTGCAGAGCAAGAGAAATTCAGGCATTTTAAGCTATGAAATGAAAGTGTTCACATGTCAACCCACAGGGGCTCACAAGACAGATTTAGAGGTGGGCACTGTGCCACAGACAGATAACAGGAGCCCAAGCAACACTGCAACCTACAGCAAACACCCCAAACTCATTTTCTGAGCCCTAGAACACTTCTGTCTTCCTCTTTCTGTGGTTAGAGCACAGGCAGCTGCCCCCAGTACTGGGGACCCGTACCCACGGCATGTCCCCGGACCCACTGCCCTGGCACTGCTGTAATCCCAGCTCAGCCAGGTATTAGCACAAGGGCAGCTGGGAGGGCAGAGGGCCGGACACCTACCCCACACCGATGCTTCGAGTGCCATGGCCCCACACCAGCAGGACTGGCCAAGACTGAGCTCCACAGCACCCAGGGGTGCCACTGTGCTGTCTCCCATGGGTCCCAGAGCCATCACTGTGGCTCATCACAGCCCACACACACACAGCCCCCAAAGCCTGGCACTGCTGGCCAGCCAGGCATGCCACCACAGACAGGAGCTGGGGACACGGACAGGTGCCCTGTCTGTCCCCACATGACAGCAGGCAGCTAGCTGCCTGCAGCACCAGCTCACCACCATGCCATGGGGGTCAAGACCAGGGCTGGGGGATGGGAATGCAGGGGCAGAGACTCATGAGCAGTGAAAAACCTTTATTATTAACTGTGTTCACCTCTTGCTAAAACCTGTCTTAGGGACTAAAACCAACCCAGGCCCTGAGGGCTGAAGCAGGGCTGGGCTCCCACGGGGAGCAGGGCTGCCCAGGTCCCCTATGGTGCCTTCCTGCCTGCTGCTGGGGGGGCTGCCTTCTGCTGCCCAGCCTCCCCCTGCCCAGCTCCTGGGGCTGCCCGGGGCTTCCTCGCCTTGCCTTGACCCCCCTTCACCTTGGGGGCATCTTGCTGTACCCCCTTGGGCGCCTTCCCCTTGCTCTTTCCCACTGGGACCTTTCGGGGCCCCTTCACCCCAGCACCCCCAAGGCTGTCGCCGTCGCCTCCCCCTGCGTCCTCAGCAGCCAGAGCCATGGGGGGCTGCAAATACCCTTGGCTGGGGTGGCTAGCAGCCTCTGGGGGCTTCACTCCATTGCTTCTGGGCTTCGCTGCTGCTGGCGGCCGGGCCTAGAGGGGAAAGAGCACCTCAGGCTGCTGCCATGCCCCGAGCCACCCATTATGACCCCTGGGCCCTGCTCACATCTGCGGGCTTTGCCCTCACCTTCGCCCTCACCGCTGTCGCCGCCTTCTCCTTCACCTTCTCCTTCTCCGCTGTCGCTGCCTTCTCCTTCACCGCTGTCGCCTTATTCTGCATCTTCTCCTTCACCTTCTCCTTTGCTGCCGTCAATTTCTCCTTTCCTGCCGTCGGTTTCACTTTGGCTACTGTTGGTTTCTCCTTCCCTGCTGTCACCACCCCCTTCGCCTTTGCTGTTGGCTTCTCTTTCACAGCACCTGTGGGAGAGGGGGCAGTGGATGAGCCCGAGCAGGGGCCTCTCCATGGGGCCAGGGCAGCCCCAGGGTAACTCATGGCAACCCCAGCCCTTTCCCTTGCTGCTACACACCTGCTGCAGGGGCCTGGGGGGGCTTGGTGGCACCTTTCTGTCCCGGTTTTGGAGCTGGTCCTCCATCAGGATCCTCCTGGCCTGGTGGCTGCTTGTGCTGCAGCTTCTTGGGGGCTAACTGGGGGCAGAAGAAGGGCAGCAGTGGGGCCAGGTGGCACCATGGCTCCGGCCCCACCACTCTGGGGCCAGTAGCCCCTGCTCACCTTGAAGCGGCCGGTGGCTCCCACAGCAGAGGAGTTGCGGGGCCGCACCAGGTCCCCACGGCTCAGCCCCTTGATCAGCGCCTGCTTCAGCAGGTACTTGAGGCGGATGGGGTCCACCGTGGGGTACTTGGCTAGGATGAACCGCTTGATGGCAACCACAGAGGTGCCCTTCTTCTCATCCTGGGCCTGCAGCGCCTCAATGACCATGTGGAGGGTGGAAGGGTGGGAGGTACACCAGCCCTTGGCCAGCGGACGCGGGAGCTGGGCTGTGCCAGCAGCTTTGGCTCCTGGGAGAGGCAAGAGGCACTGGCTGGGACCCAAGCCCAGCCCCAAGGCCCCTGCGGGTGCACCTTCCCCCCCAAAGCTGAGCCACCACCACCCTGCCCGTCCCTGCAGCCTCACGGGGACCGCAGCCACCCCAGCCCGAGCAGAGCCCCGGCGCACAGCAGCCATAGCTCTGCCGGGACCCTGCAGCACCCACCAAGCCCCTTACCCAGCTGAGGCTCCATGGCAGCACACATCCTCCTAAGGGCCCAGGCAGCACCACTGCCCTCGCTTACAGGCTCACTTCACTTCTAGCTAATTTATCTCATTAGCACCCTGACTGCAGGGGCTGGTTAGCAGCTGCTAATTGCTCTGTTTCCTCCCCTGTGGGAGCAGGTGGCTGGGAAAACGAGTGCCCTTTGCCAAGGCTTTGTGAGGGGCTGGAGAGAGAAGGGGCACGTCAGAGTGGAGGGTTTGGAGAGGGTCAAGGGATGGAGGGAGTGCTGGGTGATGGCCCTGAACATGCAGTGAAAAGGTGCCCACCAGCTGCTGGGTGGGCAGTGGGATTGCCATGGGGTGGGCAGGGAGGCGAGCCCCATGCCTGGGACCCGATTTCTGGCAGGAGGGTTGTGTAGTGTGTTGCTTCGTTAGAAGGTGTACTGTGAGATTAAATCACCCACCTGCACTCACACGCGGTTCTCTTTGGTGTGTGAACCCGCATTGCAGGCACCAGAACAACAGTCGTTTCGCCAGTGGGAACACTTACTGAAAAATATAAGTGTATATATAAAAAAAAATATAAAAATACATATAAATATAATATATATATATAAACATATATAAATATAACATATTTATATACGGATATAAAAAAAAATATATAAATATAATTGTAACTCTAGTGCTGCAGGATCCAGGTTTTGATGATATCCCTGCTGTTGGCTTAGATTGATTTGATAGAGAGCAGAACTCACTTGCCCCTGGCCACCAAATCCCACTGTGCTCGGCTGGGAGCACTGCCAGCCCCACACGTCAGTAGCCTCTCCATGTCCCCTCTGTGATGGCCTTTGGCTCAGCAACCGCCCCCCGCCGAGGATAGCATCGTCCCATGGGCCAGCTGTGAGCTGAGCCCTTGGCCATCCGGGTCGCCGAGGCAGCCCCCAAAGTTCCCTACTTGTGTGCCATGGCCACGTCGAGGATAAGTCCTCCCGCGTTCCTGTGGACACTTTCCCTGCTGTTCCCCTGGGGAAGGATATTTGTGCCATTTTCTGCTCTGCCTGTGCTGGCCAGGGGAGCCTCAGTAGTTCCCCAGCTGCTCTCTGGGGCCGGGGCAGCACGAGTGTCCCCGCTCCCCAGAGCTGCGCCCGTCCCTTCCTCTTTACACAAGAGCCACGGGGCTTTCGTGCACGTCGTCCGTCAAAGCCGTGGGAGCTGCAGGCCTGGGGCAGGGTGGGGATTACGTGACGGCAGGGCTGGTTGATGGCCAGACTCAGCAGAGGTGTCACTGCACCAACGCACGTGCAACGCGCTGCCCAGAAAGACCTTCCTCAAGGTCTGCGCCCTCCTGCTGGGCCTGGGGACGGATGCTGGCAGGGCACCGAGGTGCCAGCAGGAGCTGGCTCTGGAGGAGGAGCTGGGAGAGGCACCCAGTGCCCGGCTCCCCCCGGACCAGCACCACCAGCCCATCCCCTGCTCCATTTTCAGTCCATTTACGAGTTTCCCTGCGAAGGCACCAGTGGGGACACTGCAGGAGCTGGCACCACAGCAGGCATGGCGGCTCCTCTTCCAGCCACCTCCTCCTCCTGGACCTGGCCATCACCTCTCTGCCAGCTCCGTGATGCCTCTGGCACCTGCCTGGGCTGGAAGGGGGATCTCAAACCTCCCTTGTCCCTACCACGCCAGCAGCAGCCATTGCCCGGGGGAACAGCCCACGGGCTCGGAGCCAGGACATCGCCGGCACGTGCCGGGGCCGGTCTGGTGTGGGTGGGAAAGCCAAGCTCGGCTCCCACGGAGCACAGCCTCACGGACAGCAAATAAACACCAAATCCTGCCTCCTCTTCCCTCCAAAACCAGCTCCCAGATTTGAAGTACATGAATCAGACATCAGCCTAAACACTGAATTATTCATAAACCTCTAATCTTCAGATTTCACTGAATATGCAGAAGTATCGATAAAAAAAAATAATGAGAGAATTGTACTTGCAAATTGCTCTTTATTAAAGGTTTAGCTTGCATGGGTTCTATATGTTCCCTATTAGACCTTGCAAAGCTGCATAGGATTAGAAATCAGAGAGGATAATAATGTACAAAAATAGTTTCAAATGTTGATAACACTGAACAGCGAGAAAAACATCTTATTTGTATAACTGAGCTAAAAATAAAAATGAAGAACAGTGCTACAATTGCAATATGCCATCTTGTAGTGCTGGAAACATATGTCGACGTCTCTGAGCCATATGCTCCAGTGTCGTGCCTGCTGCAGCGCGGGGGGAAGCGGAGCGACGCGCCCGGCCCTCCTCAAAAGCACAAGCGCTGGCCAAAACCTCCTACCGGGGCTGATGCCAGACTGGTTGCGGCTCAGTCGGGGCGGTGTGGGGGGACTGGGAGGAGCGTGCTGGGGGACACGGCCCCGGGGGCTGCCGGTGGCCCAGCGGTGCCTGAGGAGGAGCGGGGCTTCTGAGGGGAGGGCGTGCTTCCTGTGGGGGGTGCCAAGGGGGGCTGCCGAGGCGGCGAGCGCTGGGTGCACGCTGCTCCCCGAGCACGTGCCGCACATGGCTGTGCCATGCCGTGCCGTGCTGTGCCGTGCCTCCGGGCCACTCGCTTGCCGGGGGAGCTTGGCAGCCATCGCCTCTGCGGCATGGAGGGGCCCATGGGCAGCAGTACCTCGTGCTGTCCCTCTCGGCGGGTGACAGTGGCTCCCAGGGCAGGGCTGGGACACCTCGCAGCAGCCAAAGCCCCGGGGGCCGGCAAGCGGCAGGGCCGAGGGGGAGCAGGGAGGCGAGGGTGTCTCTCCATGGCAGCTCCACCATGGCGGGGCGTCAGGCCCAGGGGTCTGCCCTCGGGGCGGGGGGGGG